GCTGTACTAGACCCGACTTCAAACTCTGAAGCTCTAAGTATTGCCGTGTGTTGTATTGTTTTACTGTTTATTTTAAAGGTTAGCTAACTTTGGCGTTAGCATATTACTAACACTATATTGCTAACTTGGCGTTAGCATATTGCGCGGCTTAAGATAAGACAGGCCTTTTTCGTGAATTCAGTTAGAAAAAATGTTTCTGTAATACCACAAATCCTAAATTTCATCCTAAACTGAGATAAGATAGGATTTCAGACTTAGGAAGTTTCTGTAATGAGGCCCTTGATCGGGCTGATGAGAATGTCACTGGTGAAGTACTGTGAGAACAGTGGCACAATGACTACTAAATCATCCATTTCTCCCGTAATAATTGTGTTTACACACTAGGGGTCAACCAATAATCAGTCTGGCCAATTATCGGCGCCGATATTCATCATTTTTCCAATAATCTGCATCGGTCATTATAAAAACAGTAGGGATGACCCCAAATACTCGAAGATTCGATGCTTAGATGGGCGGAGCTTGATTCGACTGTCAATCTCACAGTCAAAGCATCAGAAACAAGGATCATGCCATTTTGGCTAAATGGGGGTGCTCAACGTCTGATTTTACATAGAACTACCTGTTTTCTCCCAATAAGTTAATATACAGCCTATTACAATATACATTTCAATGTTCAATGTGCTGTAAATAAAAATTGAAAAAGAATAAAACTTTCAATAAATGTTTTTGAAGTCTGTGAATAAATCCAAAATTGTAAACCTAACCCTGAGTCGTCAGTGCGCATATGTAAGCGTAGCGTGTATGTGTGCAGTGGCAGTGGAGGAACGCTTGCTGAAGAGACCGATCCCCAGCTTCACGGTGTTGTGCCAAGTTGTTCGCACCTCGCGAGATCTTCGGATAATTTATCACCATTGATGAACCACATAAAGAATATTTTATCGTTTTTAAATAGCCGGTGTGACACCAAAATTTGTGACCTATCAGATTCTATGACCCAAACGGCAAGTTAAACGCCAGACGCTTTGTTGACGATGTGAAGTGGTTGCAATTTGGTTGGGTTTAGGCACCAAAAGTACTTGGTTGGGTTTAGGCACCAAAAGTACTTGGTTAGGCTTAGACACCAAAAGTACTTGGTTGGGTTTAGGCACCAAAAGTACTTGGTTATGGTTAGGAAAACATCGTCGTTTGGGTGTAGTTACAGAATCTGATAGGTCACAGATTTTGGTGTTACACCGGCTACTTGAAACAGACCCGCGGGGAACCGCAACATGCATGTAGTTGACGGCAGCAGTAATGCACGTAAAACTCGTCACAGGACCGGTGAATGACAGGCGAGAGAGAGAGAGAAAAGGGTCTTCAAAAAGCTTCAGATTAGCTGGAAAGTTACAGTGTAAGTTGAATGAATAGAGACTGCAGCTCTGCAGCTTCTCAACATTAAAGCGGAGCTACCCCTCGCTCGCAATCACCGCACACAAAAACACACACATGATTCGACTATCAGTTGTCTATAGGCAGGATTTGACTGATTCGACTATGTAAATCCTTAGTCTTAGCCCTAAAAAACAGATAGCCGATATAATTAATTAATAAAAAAAATGAGCTCTGATGCAGCTACCTATCTGTCTGCTTAGGGTTGGAGCCCACAGAGTGGTGAGTACAATGTCCGACCCACAATACTAGCTGATTGGATACAAGTCACAAGTAATAGCCTATCAACACCGACTATTGTGCAGAAGTAGCCAATAGAACAAGTGAGCCACCACACTGCAGCCCCTCCTCTTCTGTCTCACCAGAGCTCCCATGTAGAGACTTGTTTTCTTGATCCCGCTCCCGCTGATTTTGTGACCATTACTGCCCGCTCCCGCAACATGTGTGTTCCTCTACCGCCCATTCCACACATGTGTATCCACTCCTGCCCGCACCCTCAATTTATCACTCAAAGTTAACAAGTCCATCTCTGGGATGGATCTCTAATTCATTTTATTTACTATTTATAAAGATTAAACATGACAATTAACTTTAATCTTGTTATTTTCACTTTTACGCCCTAATCCAGAGTTCATATCCTAAGTACTTTGTGGTTAGGTTTCAACAACAAAAGCACGTTGTTTAAGATTAGGGATCGTAATTTGGTTACATGTTAATAAAGTAAAACGCCATGTCTCCTGCTTCAAGTTACTGTTGATTAAAGCAAGACCGTGGTGTTTGGTGTACAGGCGGTGTATTTTTGGCCACACAGTCAATTTAAACATTTTCCAGCTTGGCAGATGAATTCATTAAACAGGAACTCTAACAATTTTACACACCAAAGTCTATTTACAGGTCTTGGGCTAATTAGTAGAGACAGACACCTTAAAAAGCTGGATTCAGAATGCAGTGGAACATAATCACAAGACTTTCATTAAAAAGTCAGACTGTGCACTTAGTGCACTGTAGGGCCACAGCAGCTGGAAGCTAGTGGAGAAGGAATATTCTTGCATTCATTATGACTGTATAACTCCCCTTTCCTTGTCTGTGAAGTTCAAATCTCTTGACATCTTGTTTTGTAAACTAAACAAACACAAATTCTTGCATGTGCCCTCTCTCTCTTGCACGCACATTAACATGGACACATACGCATGTACAGTAGCAATATCTTGAGGCTTATACTCAGTGAACCCTGTGGCCACATAAAATACTTGCAGGGCTTTCAGTTCTTTGCTCCAGTTATGTCTAACTAGTGAGGGGGAAGCCCTGGTGTACTGCAGCTAAAAGCCAAGCCCCACCATGGAATGAATAATGAATACAGATTCTCCATCCAGTCTATCTGCATATAGTTCAAACGCATCCTGCTAGTCCATGCATAAAGCAACAAGACACACAACTCTATGCTAATGGGCCGCAATTCCAGGGGTTGGACTGGGCTTACTGAGCCATGCAAATGTTCCAGTGCTGAGGATGAAGATGTCAGATGAGGAGGATGTGATGAGGAATTGCTCAAGTGTTTGTGTGGGTGGCTATAGAAACAGTACATGCACAGACACATGCAAATAACACCGACTCAGGAACTACTGGAAGCACAAGTCGTCCCAAGGGAGTCCTGGACATTTTATTGATGCTGAGTGATGCTAACGACCTCCCCAGCACTACAGGACCAAGATGAGAGCATTGGGTGAAGCTGTCACAGGACATCACATATCAGTGCCAACCACTCACTTTTATACCAGTTACTGCAGTCGACCCTCAGGAATAATATAATGTGCCATTATTAATAGTCATATATCTCCTGTTTGTCTACTTTTCTCTCTTATATTTCACTTGCGATTCTACAAAAACAACATTATTTCTGCAGGGAATGTGTCGTGTGGATGTGTGTGTAAGTGTGTGTGTGTGTGTGTGCGCGCAAGACTATATAAGCAGCCAAATGTGTCATTTAGCCATTTTCCTGATTAGACTGATAACAAAAGCTCTGGTTATCAGCAAAGGAAGCTGCACTTTGCTTGTGAGCCCATCAAGGGAAAAATGTTTTTCTTTGTAAAAGCAAGCAGCTCAGAGAGAAAAAAACTGTAGTCAAACCTCCCTTGGGAAGGAACTGTGTGTTTGAGGCTCTCATTCTTTTGTTTCTCTTATTTCATTCCCTGACTTTATCCCCTACCCCTGTTCTGTCCGGTTTGCTTCCACTTTGTGTGGATTTCTTGCAGCACTTTTCTCTTGATCCCTAACCCCTCATCTCTTTCTTTTCCCCGTTCTGCTGCATTAAATGATTTTTTGCATTTGAATCCCCCATAACACCGGTTTGTCAGTGTGGCAGGAGCCTGCAGGAATCCTACTGGGAACATGTCCCAGAATGCCACGGCAGCCACAGTGAAAAAGAGCGACTGACCCAAGGGGGCTCCAATGAAATCCTCAAAGTTCTGAAGACTTTCTCGGGTCTGTGCTGTTGCTCAGAATAATATAATTCCCTGGCATTTAAGTGAAACTGTGAAGTGTTCATATCCACAAAACTTTCTTTTTCAAGTTTTCAATTCTAAGAACTTCTGGTTCTGACAGGAGAGCTATTACAGGGACCAGCTCTTCCTCTCCAAAGCAGTGGTGTGTCTAGTTTAATTACAACAGAGCAAGTATTCAATGTCACACATGGGTGGAGGCCACTGTCTCTACCTCGCCTCTCAGACACTGATTGGCCATCAGTGAACAGGAGAGGGCCATTAGGAGATACTTGGCAGGACATCAGCAATTTGCAAGCGAGGATCAGTAATATTTTGGCTTAGAACATTAATTAGTTTTTAACATGTGATCCACGTCTGGATCATTGGTTACCACTGTCGCCTCACAGCATGTGTGTGGATTTGTGTCGGTGTGTAGTCCAGTCTCCTAGGAATTACGTCCATATTATATAATTCCGCCCCTTGGCATATATATGCAATGCCATGTTAAGTGCCAACTCAAGACATAGTGTGCACAATATGTAACAAGCCAGAAAGTAGGAATGCACTTTAAAGTGAACTTGAAATTGCTCCTAGATGTAAATGTGATGGTAAAATATGTTTGTCTGACTGGCAACCTGTCTAAGGCGTACCCTGCTTCTAACACAACGCATGCTGGGATAGGGTCAGGGTTCAAATTGATCAGTGGATGGAATTAATCCTCTGTAGATATGCCATAAGAGAAAGATCTCCTTGAATGTCAACAGCAGCTGGGCCAATATACAGTATAGTAGATAGGTATAAATGTGAATCTTTCCTGTACTCACTTATGTCTAATAATACATGATTTTAAGTTTGAGTTGTATTAAGGTTATCACTTAAATCAAAAGAAAAAAATCCATTACCTACATAATGCCTGCTAATTATTGACTTACCACTAGATTCATTGACAAAACCTGCAGCTAATGGTAAAAGGTGTACTGTTATCTGCAATTAAAACAGGAAGGTTGTGGTTTCTATTAAGTTAAGAGATAATTGCTGATTAGTCATTATCGAGGAGGGTTAGTGTATGACAAGGGAAATGAAGACACTGACCTCATTAAAGTGGGCTGCCTCCTCGCAGTTCTCTGCCACTCGGCTGTAGAAGGACAGACCTGGAAGGCGAGGAGGTTTTTAGAGGTTAAAAACAAATAAACAGTTCAATAATGGCATTGCAGTTACTGTCATTTCGGTTTGAATGAGTTGACATACAGCATGAGCAATTAATATAATTTCTACAAAAGAGCTTATAAATTACACTATATTGGCTTGTTTTGGACTTGGGACCCCTTACAAAAAAGCAGTGTCTAGCTGGGGCCCCTTGTCACGTGTTATTTGTAAATAATTGTGAAATTATCCAATATTTTACAAAAAAGCATTGTAGCTGTAGCTGTACTTTTACTTAATTAAAGGATCTGAATACTCCTTCCACCCAAGAGGCAACGTCAGAGTCTGAAAAGTAAAGCCAATGCCTAAGTGCCTTAAAACTTGCATTCTTTCCAATGGCCAGCAGGGGTTGGCTCCACTGGTTACAAAAAGAAGTCAGATTGCATTGGAGTCAATGACAAAATGACCCGTCTTCTCACTTCTCACTTGATTGATTACATGCTGTAAGTAAACACTTTCCTAATGAGTTTATGGTCTCACTCGCTAGTAGGGCTGCAACTAACGATTATTTTCATTATCGACTAATCTGCCGATTACTTTCACGATTAATCGATTAATCGTTTAGTCAATGAAATGTGAAGAAATTGTGAAAAATGCTCATCACAATTTTCCAAAGCCCACAGTGACGTCCTCAAATCGCTTTTTTTTGTCAAACCAGCAGCCCAAAACCCAAACACTCTTCATTAACTTTTATAAATAACAAAGAATAGCAGCAATTCCTCACATTTAAAAAGATGAAACCAGAAAATTTTTCACATGCAAAATAGTTGTCGATTAATTTTTGTAAGTAATCGATTAATTGACAAATAGTTGCAGCTCTAATCAATAGTTTCAAGTCATCATTTTTGTAAATGATGGTTCCATTTAGATGAAAAGAGTATGGTAATGGTAGTGGTTAACTTGTGATTGATAAGTCACTACCACAGCGACCTGTCACTCAGGATAGAGGCAAATCATATCCACTGCACTGTGCACATTTAATTAGCCAGTAACTTGTTTTAGGGTGCTGTGAATGTTTGTGTTTAAGAACTTTGACGCTTTCACAGTGTGTTTTCAGTTCATGAAAGTTCATTGGAACATTTTGGTGGCCTAAAAATGACATGTTCAGCATTCGATTGTACTAAGGAGTCTGCTGTTCAATTTTTCAAGTAAGTACACTTTGTTTAAAGTATGTTTTTTTTTGCTAGCCAAAATAAGCATCTCAATTAATATCACAGTTGATGTAAATTACAGTTGCACCCTACTAACCAAGCTAGCTAGCTCCACCCACTCATTCAAATACAGTCACTTCTGGTTACACAAAACCAAGATGGCGGTTTTGTGGAACCAGTCAAGGCTTCAAAACAGTAGTCCACACACCAATGGCTGACATCACGGTGGCTACATCCACTTCTTTTATACAGTGTATACTTCCACCACTGTCTGTCAGATACAGGTTTGATAGATGAACATATTGATTCACATTTAGATTCATTCATCAACATTAAAATAATCCCGTTGCTGTCTATAATCTGTTTACACTTGTCCCGTTAAAGGTCAGTGAAAAGACAAATGAACACCTTATGTACCTGAAAAACACACAAATGACACGGCTGTGTGGAGCCACAGGAGACGGAAAAGAAATGCAGACAATTAAATGGCTACAATGTGACTCACTATGCAACAGAATAATGGAGAAGCAAACAGAGACTTCAGCAGAATTGAAATAACATAAAACAAGTGCGATTTAAGAAAACAGGACATACAGAATTTCCGCATGGTCTCCTTAGATGATCGTGAAAACAATCATCTCTTGATGCACTGTGTATTCAAGGTTATACGCAGGGCAGAGAGCCTTTCACTGTACAACCTGACTCACCCATGCATGCTACAGCCTGTGTTCACCTGGCCACTTTGTGATGCTCATGAATGGTGCCAGACTGCTGTGTGCATTGTTGAGGTAGTTTGCTTTGTGTATCTGAGGCTTTGTGCGTGTGATGTTTGTTTGGGTGCATGTGGACAGCTGATGTGCACGCCAATATATACACTGCTCAAAAAAATAAAGGGAACACTTAAACAACACAATGTAACTGCAAGTCAATCACACTCCTGTGAAATCAAACTGTCCACTTAGGAAGCAACACTGATTGACAATCAATTTCACATGCTGTTGTGCAAATGGAATAGACAGGAAGAAATTATAGGCAATTAGCAAGACACCCCAGTAAAGGAGTAGTTCTGCAGGTGCTGACCACAGACCACTTCTCAGTTCCTATGCTTCCTGGCTGATGTTTTGGTCACTTTTGAATGCTGGCGGTGCTTTCACTCTAGTGGTAGCATGAGACGGAATCTACAACCCACACAAGTGGCTCAGGTAGTGCAGCTCATCCAGGATGGCACATCAATGCGAGCTGTGGCAAGAAGGTTTGCTGTGTCTGTCGGCGTAGTGTCCAGAGCATGGAGGCGCTACCAGGAGACAGGCCAGTACATCAGGAGACGTGGAGGAGGCTACCTCCGCCTTTGTGCAAGGAGGAGCAGGAGGAGCGCTGCCAGAGTCCTGCAAAATGACCTCCAGCAGGCCACAAATGTGTCTGCTCAAACGGTCAGAAACAGACTCCATGAGGGTGGTATGAGGGCCCGACGTCCACAGGTGGGGGTTGTGCTTACAGTCCAACACCGTGCAGGACGTTTGGCATTTGCCAGAGAACACCAAGATTGGCAAATTCGTCACTGGCACAGATGAAAGCAGGTTCACACTGAGCACGTGACAGACGTGGCAGAGTCTCGAGATGCCGTGGAGAACGTTCTGCTGCCTGCAACATCCTCCAGCATGACCGGTATGGCGGTGGGTCAGTAATGGTGTGGGATTTCTTTGGGGGGCCGCACAGCCCTCCATGTGCTCGCCAGAGGTAGCCTGACTGCCATTAGGTACCAAGATGAGATCCTCAGACCCCTTGTGAGACCATATACTGGTGCGGTTGGCCCTGGGTTCCTCCTAATGCAAGACAATGCTAGACCTCATGTTGCTGGAGTGTGTCAGCAGTTCCTGCAAGAGGAAGGCATTGATGGTATGGACTGGCCCGCCTGTTCCCCAGACCTGAATCCAAATTGGGCACATCCACCAACACCACGTTGCACCACAGACTGTCCAGGAGTTGGCGGATGCTTTAGTCCAGGTCTGGGAGGAGATCCCTCAGGAGACCATCCGCCACCTCATCAGGAGCATGCCCAGGCGTTGTAGGGAGGTCATACAGGCACGTGGAGGCCACACACACTACTGAGCCTCATTTTGACTTGTTTTAAGGACATTACATCAAAGTTGGATCGGCCTGTAGTGCGGTTTTCCAGTTTGATTTTGAGTGTGACTCCAAATCCAGACCTCCATGGGTTGATAAATTTGATTTCCATTGATAATTTTTGCGGGATTTTGTTGTCAGTACATTCAACTATGTAAAGAAAGGAGTATTTAATGAGATTATTTCCTTCATTCAGATCTAGGATGTGTTATTTTAGTGTTCCCTTTATTTTATTTATTTATTTTTTTTATGAGCAGTGTATATATCTGTACACACACACACACACACACACACACACACACACAGTGGCTTACAAAGGTCATTACGGACCCTGTCAGTTTAGCTGTAATAATTAGTTATGAAATAAGTAAGATCTTGCCTGGATCTGATGTATAATTTTTTGTGCTCATTTACAGAGTAAACAACCTCTGAGTTTACAAAGAGAAAAAGACACAAACATACAAAGGCAATACTGAAACTCTATCACACTTCATTCAACCTCATCTGGATAATATTACCAATACAATTTGCTCATTTTGACTCTAGTTCATAATCTATGTCTCGTTTCCATCTCTCTTTCCCATCACTCCCCACTCTCTACAATCTTATAAAACCCACATCCTTTGCAATATTTTTTTAGAAAATAAACACCACTTAAATGTAAGAGGGGGAGAGAGACAATATTCCACCTACATTATCCCAAACAGAGGCACCGCTGTCATACCAGTGTTTTCATCTAACTGAGACGTGGGTTTAGAAAAGGAGATTGTGCTAAACTTACATAAGGTGCTCCACACCAAACTAACACAACATTCTGCTAATCAGGTTACCTCTTGGCCTTGGGTGGAAACAGTGGGAAATAAAGCAATAGAGAGCAGAGGGAGGAACGCCATTGAAAGAATCAACCGGTGGTGCAGAAAAGGAAAAGGAATAGAGAGTACATTTTCATTTCGAGCAGACAGACTGAGATTAAATGAGTGAAAGGATGGAGAACTCTGAAGAACACTCAAGATAGCATAAATGAAGGGGCAACAGAGGTGCTTATTAGCGGTTCTCTTGTTTTACCTGGACCAACAGAACGGAAGAATTGAGAGAATAACACAAAAGTGTAAAGCATTTTGTTAATGTTCGGGATTTTAGTCTCCCTCTGAGCATCTCATCTTTGTTGTTCCATACTGTCACATTGTCGACCAATTTACTTGCTGAGGAAAATGGTGGCGGCTTCTACTTGAACCATAATTCAAACTAAACACTCAGCAAATGTCTGCTCCGGAAAAGGATGTAAAGGAATTAGTTTTAGTGTGCTACAGGGAAGCAAAGAAATTTAAATGATGTGTGTAGGATACATACAATTGCATAAAGCTCTGTTCCAGCACAGATAATATTGAAGATTTAGAGTTTTAAAGGATGATGAACAAACTGTCCAAGCAGCAGCGTGGACATCAAGTGTCTGTAAGTTAAACAGAGGCTTGATAAGTGGATAGATGACACACAGAAGAAGAGAGCTGGGCTGAAAGAAGCAAGCTGTAGGGGAATATCTTAGAAGCGGAAATAATGCTTTAACTAATTTAATTCTACAGTGCGTTTGATCCTGCAAGCTACTGTGCAGAGGCCCAGGCTATAAGCAAGAGCTGGGGTGTCGTTCTTTGATAAAGCGAAGAGCTACAGATAGCAGCAAGGATTCATCAAAGACTTGTCACAAAATCAATTAAGTTTTGATACCTCGCCTTTGAAGAAGACTTTTTTCAATTTCCATGGTAACAAATAATAATGAACCAGTTTTAGCATAACTGGACAGGAAACTCAACAGTCTTCTTTATTTTCTCACAATATCAAAGATATTCTGGATTATGTGTGTTGTTAGACACCTACATACATAACATCTCCCCACCTGCCTTGTTTGACATGCTCATGGGTGGGGGTGGGGGTGGGGGGTTCCTGCTTTCTGCTTCCTGGCAGGCCCCCTTCCTCTCCAGACAGGAAGTTGTTTAAGTTGAAAACACTCAAGGAAGCTCTACAGACAGGGAAAGGCATGACTCAAACCCCACAGCAATTAAAGAGACTGGGGATGCAAATACCACAGTACAAGAAAAAAAGCAAACAACATGTGTCAACTTTAGAATTGTACAGTAATAAAAATACAGACTATTACGTCTTCAGTAAATGGCTGGTTTTAAATGCAATTGGAGAAAGAAAAAAAATAAGTGATAGAGTAATGGAGGCAGAGGACAGATAAACCGTTTATTTTCTAGATGTGAAGAGGGTAATAACAGTTCCTATTTACAATGATTTCACCATCTGTGGCAAAGTAATTGCTAATAAATATAATTGAAGACATCAGCCTGCTTTTAACCCTTTAACTGAAAAATAATTCATGTTCCAAGTGTGTAGCAAACTACTGAGCAATTACTCATCTGAAAACAGTATTTTTTTTAAATGAAGCTAATCATATAGTGGGTGCCTTGGTGATTCAGTGGATGGGTTTAATCCCAGCTCATATCTGTGTTGCACTGCTCTCTCTCTCTCTCGCCCACCTTTCCTATGATTCTCTGCTCTGTTATCTAATGGCCCATAAATATCTAAATGTATAACACACACTTTACACCTGACAACTCATGATTTCTTTTTTACTTTTTAATTGAATCTAATATGCTTTCCACCACACTTTACTTAAAACACCTTGCTAAATAAATAAGCACTTTCATAATGCCTTCCAAAAGTAACATAGACATCATAGTAAGGCTAATATGAAACATGGAGAGTTCACATTACAGTACTTTGAGACAAACAGAGGGGCCCAAACTAGGAATAGTGAGAGTGTGCATGTGTGTATGAGAATGGGACGATATTTGCCTATTATATAAACCGGTAACTTAGTTCGCTACTTGTATGCTAGCTAAAAACGCTACATGAGAGGCACCAAACGGAAGACAAGTTAGCAACCAAGCTAGCTGGTGAAAATAGTGGAGCAATTAGCAAAGCGGGACAGACATTTCCCTCAAGTGGTTGATAGAGACCAAAATCATAGCTAAAATAGAGTGATGTGACTTACATTCACCACCTGTTGCGCCATAACTGTTGTTGGATGTGAATAAGCACCTGTTTTATAATGTTCGCCATTTCAACTCAAAAGGTGATAAGTTGTGTTCACAACTTGTTTCCCCCAAGTGGCCAAAATCATCTCTTACAACTGGGATGACTTTTGGGAATTTCAGCTATATTTGACACTGATGCAACAATTTTGTCATACTTTATATCACACTTTAGAAATGTAAACCTTTTTCATTTTTTTTCAAATTGTTGGCACATGTCAACTGTCCTGCAGCTAGAAAGAATATTTTAAACAACGATTAGACGATTAGAGGGAATAAACAAGTAGTGCAGAAACTACTGCTCAACGTCAGCCAAACCAAGGAACTGATGATTTTGGGAAAAAGGAGGTCAAGACACAAACCCCTGCCTACATCAACCGAGGTGGAGCAGGTGAACAGTTTCATTTTCCTGGGAATCAGCGTCGCAGAGAACCTGTCATGGTCATCTCACATCGCCACGCTGGTGAAGAGAGCTAAACAAAACCGGTTGTATTTCCTAAGGAAACTTAAGAAGGCAAAAATCTTGTTTCAACTTCTTGTTAACTTTTACAGGGGAGCAATAAATGCATGGGAGGGCTCTGCAGTGGGTAATTAAAACCGCTCAAAGATCATTGGTACCCATATACTGAGCATCAGTGATATCGGTGAGGCCACAAAAAGACAGAACCCACCCCAGTCACAGTTCACCCTGCTGCCATCTGGCAAGAGATACAGAAGAATCTGCTGCCGTACCACCAGACTCCAGAGCAGATTCTTCCCTCAGGCCTCAATTCATTCTCAGCACTCCAAAATAGTTTTACTTCTATGATTTGTTATTTATCCACCCATCATCTATGTATAATTTTTGTAAATGACGTTTGCTATTTGTGAATAGCATAAAGGTAATTTCGTTATGCAACCCTGTTTGTAAAACTATATAGGCTATATATATTTTATATGTGTGTGTGTGTGTGTGTGTGTGTGTATATATATATATATATATATATATATATATATATATATATATATATATATATATATATATATATGAACTGGGCAGATTTTGAAATAACACTGAATCACATACTGTAGGGCACAAATCGGGGTAAAAAAAATACACACACACACACACATCGCTGCTTAGGCTATTTGAAATTACAACCAGATGAACTACAGCTACTGTGCTGACAGTTGGACCATGAGGGGAAGAGTATAAAATCTAATCCTTGACTTGGATGACGCGGTTCATGTCATTTCAAGACCCTGGTGAATTCACTGCGGCACAGAGCACAACACTGAAAACCATCCTCCATCTCCAGTGCACACACACTCACTCACTCACATACCACTGGAGAGAGGGTAAAGGAGTGGTGATCTTGTAACATCCTACATTGTACTGCTACTGACAGCAGGAGTCTAATCAGACATACGCTGGGACTGAACACCTGTCATCTGTCAGAGAGTGGGCAAATCGCTGTCCAAGGTTCTGAAGCACACACGTAATGAGAATTCACATAAATGTGGCACATAGGCCTACACAGAGTTACATTGTTGTTTTCTCTTCGTTGTTCTTAATTAATAGTTAATTTTCTAATCATTCATTTTAAAGCTATGAGATGTCCATGTCCTGACAGCTGGAAAATACTGGAAATAACAGTTGTGATGTTACATTATTAACCATCATTAACAGGAATGTAAACACACTATTTAAAATACAGTTTGTTTCTGTAGACAACCCGATTTTAAAATATGTGAAAAGAATTAAAGCATACGGTTAAAATGAGGGAGTGCAAAATAATGAAATAAACTCCATAATGGGTTGGATTTTTGTGTAGTATCCTTTTTCGCATGCGCTTGATTGTGTTGTAGTATTGCTGTAGCCTACTGGCTTTTGTTTGAGGAATGTTAGTCCAGTTTCCTTCCTCTGGATAAAAAGCGCATTGGAACATCAGAGCGCAGCGCGTCTCCGGTGACCACTGATCCAGGAGGGGTTTCCCCAACTTTTTACGCAACCAGGACCGCTGATTATTTCCCGTTACGTCGTCTCACATAGATTAAATACGGACATACCACACAGGTTGTGATTCAGTTTCCAAACATACAGGCTATAACACAGAAACGTTGCAGTTAATGATGTCCTACCTCTGAATGTAACTTTGGCGATCCGGTCACCTTTCCCCCGAAGGTGAGCGACCGTCTTCAGGTGAACCATTAGAGCCATCATTGGTCCACACTGGTCAGGGGAGTAATTTTACTCCACGCAGATAAAACTTGAACCGGTTTGGTGCAATCTGTATTTAATCTTTAGGTGAGCCTCTCCTCGTGTCTGGAAACAAAAATCATCTTCCATACGGGCTGCATGTAGAGTTGTTTGTATTTGTATGTAACAGAAACATAAAACAGTAAATTAATTATAGGCTCCGGTTAACATTTTCTCTCGCTCCTTGCTCTGTGGCTGCTGGGTCTGTCGCGCATCTCCGGGTTGGCACTTGGTTTTACAGCTTGTCCTGCAGGAAGGGCGGGGGGTGGGTTTCAGCTTCAGCGTGGGGATGGTGGATGCTTTAATTGTAGAATATCAGTCCAGTCTTGCGATATTAGGGAAATGTCCTCCCTCCTTTTTTTCAGTGTATCTTCTATAGTCATGAACATAGCCTACTACTGCATGCCTTCGCAGATATTTATTCTTCATCTTCCCTGCAGACTACTACATATATCCAGCTCTTTTATGGTAAATTCTTAAATTATTCTGTTTGTATGTAGGTTACTAAACACAGTGTTTACTAATGATCTTTTAATGTCTCCTTTAATATTTCTATAAAGACTAAACCTGACCTACAGTGATCTAAAACTTACTATATAGGATTGAATCTTATTCTAGGACAGATAACCTATTGAGTAAAATACAGTTGCCAGGCAACTCCTTTTCCCTTACTATGGGGTGAGGATAATAAGGTCAGGGGTCAAATGAGCTTTGCCAGTTGGTCCCTGGTGCTGGGCAATGGTCCTTCTTTCTGCTCTGGTAATAAAACACAGAAACCACATTGGCTGAGGCTCTGTAATAAAAGAGCTGTCAAAACAGAGTCCAGATACCTGTTGGGTGCTGACGGGGTTCTCCTGGAGGGAAATGAAGAATAATTTACTGGTATGCAGAAGATGCCACAATAAGAAGACATTTAAAAACCAACACCCTCCCCAAATAACGATTACATTAGGAAGGTTTTGTGTGGGAATCCTTAATTTGAAATCTTTGAGAACACCTGGCTTAGCCTTTTTGAAACATGCATATTTAAAGATTTTTAGCTCAATAAGAAATGCAAATGTGTTTCGTCCAAAATTGTATTTAACAAGTAAAACAAAAAACTAAACTGTGCTGCAGGTTTCTTTAGAAATGCCATTATTTCCAGGAGTACCACAGATGCACAGCTGGCAGCAGGAATTCCTCTGACAGCACTGTGATGTTTCATGGTCCTCAACATCCCAGCAGGCACAGGGACTTACTCAGGCTATCAACGCAGTTTATTGGTCCTGCCAAGATATGGAACTGTCACAGTAACTGTAACACAGAAAACTGCCTCACACAAAAATAAATGTACTGTGTGACAAGGCAGTCTAATACTTTGGCATGTATATTCAGCAACTGTGTCTAAATGGGCTCAAATATCTCAAATCAAATTAGGTGTTTTATCATTATTTTGCTCACCCTCACTGATCTAATAATCGTGGGCAAAATAATAGAAACACCTGTCAGCATAACACAATACATTTCAGCAGCACCTCAAACTACATCCTCCAAAATTATTATATAGTTTAATCCCCTCTCTAAAACAGTTTCAACAAAAACTGAACATGATAATCTTCATAAAGGAAGGCTTTGTTGCAGAGTTTTCACGAAGCTTGGTGTTCCTGTTTACTGAACCCCCTTATTTTTAGTCTAAAACAGTTAATTAGGTGTTTTTTAAAATTTCCCTCAACTCTCCCAGAAAATTAGAAAAAGATACAAAGACAATGGCGGAATGAAAGAGCTAGTTTGATAATTCATCGTCTCTGTTTATAAGACACCCAAAGCAGTAGCCCCAACAGATGTAAATGACGGCATGTATGTTTAAGACAAAAGTGTCTTAAACATGGTTTGATGCCTCACACACACGCACACACACACACGCACACACACACACACACACACACACACACACACACACACACAAATGACAAAATAAATAGTGCAGCTGCTGATAGAACTGGGACACAACACTCATATTGCTTTAACACTATTCATATAAACTCAGCCGGACATCCAGTCTAACTTGATACAGTAAATCACCAGAGATGGCCTATTTCATCACAAGAATCTTGTCACCTCACTCAGGGGAATCATAGCAGGACCGGACATAAATAACCTCAGGCGTGTGTATAACAAAACAGTCAGCCTTGTACTTAAACTGAATGAAGCCTCTCTCCCCATCCTGTGTGTGTGCGTGTGTGTGTGTGTGTGTGTGTGTGTGTGTGTGTGTGTGTGAACAAATGACCGTGTCAGTGCACATTTTGCGGGTTTGCAGGGAGCGAGTAAAAAAGACAGCTATATGCTTGGATAAGACATTTTTAGTTTAAAATTGTATTATGTTTTGTGCTGACTCATGCAGTATTGCAAAGTGCTGCAGTATATGGGTGTGTGTGTGTGTGTGTGTGAGAGAGAGAGAGAGAGAGAGAGACAGACTCAATCAGCACCAGTAATGAGTGTTACTGTTTTAAAGGCAGAGACAATATTAAAAAAAGACAAAGACCATGGCTTTACAGTCATTCATGAATTCGTTCATGAACAAGTGATGATTGAAATCTTTTTCCAGTGTAGATAAAGGCCTTGGCCAACAGAGGGAGTTGGTCTGGCACAACTACAGACAATTGAATAAAGGCATCTTTTGTCACATGATGTTGCTTGAGCAGGCTATACAGACAGATAGATGGATATACCATTCATTATATAAAAAAAGCCAATTTGTTAGGGTAGTCATCTCATTCAGATCTGATTTAAAGTTCCAGTCCTTTCAGTATGAAAGAGACTATTAATGATGAATTAACCTCTGATATGAATACATTGAATGGATTCAGTAATTGACCATCTGTCAGATTGCTGCTGGTCATTTGCTCTCTCACATGCGAAAAGTGCTGCAGAGGAGCCAAGGGAGGCAGAAAATTTCAGGTTTTTCAGGCAGAAAAACTTCAGTGTGATAGTAACCATGGGGAAAACTAACTACAATAAAAAGGGGACGACAATGTTTCTGAGATGTTGACTTTAAATTTCTACAGTATTTGATGTTGAACCTTGACAGTATTATAATAGATATAAAGTCACTGTAGTCTACCATCACATATGTGTATTATAGCAGAAGCAGAACCTCATTCATTATCTACACAATGTGCGTATTGTTCTTTCCCTCATTGGAGCACAACATCATACAAAAACAAACAAATAATAGACACATATGACTATATTAGGTATGTATTATTACCCAACAAGACAATTTTCCAAAAGCTTCCATTCTATTCACAATCTTCCTGCACACACAGGTACTAAATTTAAAAACTTGGCTTGTTGCTCCATCTAGTGGTTAAATTACTTCTTTGGGAAATTGATGTAATGAGGGACGTCATCTCATTACAGACTTTAAGCAATAGCCTAGGCCTAATGCGTTTTCAGCTAAACTGAAGGTGGTGATGACACTTAGTTTCTTTGCCACAGGACAAACGCAGCAATGCTGATGATTTAGGCCCGTCACAGCCATCAATAAGCCGAATAGTCATGGAAACGATTATAGCACTTAGGCTACAGCTCCGCACATTGTCACGCGTTTCATCGACATCCCAACAACAGCCCCGTAATCTGACAGAAGCAAACACAGTTCATGCAAATAGCCGGCTTCACATATAAAGCTCATATAAAGATAAATTTATTTATTTCATTTAGTAATGTGTAGGCCTATATAATAATGTATTCTCTTGAAAATTTTTTATTGTTGAATGTGTGTTGAATATAAACTTCTCTTAGGAATTTCACCATTCAATGTGAATATATCTGAGAATATTCTTAAATAAGGAAATCTTATTTCTCTCTATTTAAATGTCGTAATTCAGTACTAAGACTGACACTTAAGATTTAGTCCTACACTTCACTCAAATTAGGACCATGATGACTGATAACTAACTTTAAAGCACAGCTTTGAAACAAGAATTTTTTCACTCTTAAGTCAGTTCTTAGCAGTGTTCTTATGAGTAATTCTGAGAAGTTTGATAAATACGGGACCTGGTTTTACATTACATTGGTTTTAAAAAGACAAACACAAAAAGTGTTTTAATAAAGCCTACACTTTTAAAGGTAAACAAAATCAGGAAGAGAACAGCATGTTCAAAACCTTTGATCTGAATGTTTCTGGCACTAATCGGTGCTAACACCCTGCAGTCTTTATTTTCCTCCACCTGCTACCACACTTCAGCACTGGATGAAGTCAGTGTCCTTCCCTGAAGAGGGAGACATTTTGTCAATTTTATTTTATTATTCTGTCAAAAAAATGGAAGACACCCTGCAGCAGGTACGTTTCTGAGAAGCATACAGGCTGTTTTGGAAAGGAATGAAATATGGAATTTGAATAAAAATGATCAGAACCTATAAGTCTTCATATATAGAGACAGCACTCTGTTTAACAGTTTGGCTTTTAAGCAGTTCACAGTGTGTAATCACTTCAGTCAAATCAGAATCGATTGGAGAGGGATATGGATGTGATAGCCTTTGAAACATTGACCACTGGCTTTTGATAGTTTATTTGTTATTTTTTGCCGACATAAAGAAGTAGCAAGTTCACGGTGAAGCAGTCCCATCGGAAGAGGGAAGGGGAGGGCTGGTGTGTCCCAGCCCTCTGCATCCAGCTGGTGCCTTGCTCCTCAGCAGTAGCGCGCCACACTGACTATGGCTTTAGCCGCAAGCAGGACGCTCTTGGCGCTATTCGTTACGTTTTGTGCACCTGGATGCGGATGGGCAGGTAAAAGATCTGTTTACTTTCTCCTGAGCAGGTGCACGCTCTGCACTAGTGTGTTGCTTTCTCGTCTTGTAGTTTAATGGATCCAATCTGATTGATGAGACAGCCGTTGCAGCGTGCGAGTCTGCGAATTTTAGTGTATTTAAATGTAGGCCTAATTATTGATGTAAGCCTTTTACTCACAGTTTTGATTCTGTGATTTTGAAAGGAAAGGGTGCGCGTGCATAGCCATGTCTGTGCTCGCAAACCTTATGCATCTCCAAATCCCCAGATTCTGCAGATGTCATTTTCATTAAAACGAAATTGATTAAGTTTAGCTATAAAGAATGCATTAGAATATTGTGTTGAGATTGCATAGTTTTATTTATCATTTGCAGCTGTGACAGAGTTCTTAAGTGAGCATTTACAGCAAATACGGACTTTGACAGTATTTTCACCCTTGTTACTTTATGGGGGAAAATATGATGCTGGTCTCTGAGCAGCAGTCATGGAACAAGTCCTTACCTCATACAGTGGGCACAACCTGGAGGAACTGTGATCAACAATTACAAGATGATGACAAATATCAGGATACATGCTGAGAGAAAAAAGAAAAAGAAGAGGGTATTATGTCAAATGGGTGACTTATCAGGCTGGTGCTGGTTATAAATGACCTGCCTCTAAAATTCAGTGTCATGAGAGAAGTGGTGGTGGGGGGCTTAAGTTTTCTTTCTGTCATGTCATCTCTGGCATACTCTGACATACTCGAATGTCACTCATCAACTATTACACTGGAATTGGGAGAAATACTCTTGATAGCAAAATGATGCAAAAGTGGGTCAAAATGCTTTTTACCAGCAAAATTATTTTATTATTTCTTTCATTTCTTTTCTTTTCTTTTCTTTTCTTTCATTAATTGTTTTTAAATCCATGTCAGCAAGTGGACTAACGTTTTTGACAGGCATAGAGACTGGGAAAACCGCAGCACACATGTTTTTAAAGTTTCTTAAGTACTGTTTGTAAAATCAATTTTCAGGGAAAGAAGCCCAAATCCTCCAGACAGTGAAAATATCCAAAATATCAAAAGCGCCATAAAGCCCAAGGAGTTTTGAAAGTATGCTAACCCTTTTGGCTGAGTTTAAAGGTCTCTCTTTTTTCTCCCCTTCTCTCCAAAGTACTCAGTCCACTTATATTGTAAGTTTCTATATGCCTCCTTCTCAATTGTAAGCAGTTAGTGCATGAGGTCATTGCTTTCTCTGAATATAGGCAGCTGCTATTTGTTGTGGGTTTTTCCTCTGTCTCGATTTCTTTTCCATCTTTTAGGAAGTATTTTCATAACACCACTTTTTCTGCAACACCCTGCTTCACATTCATTCACTTATATACATTCACACATGGGAGCTACTTAATACAACTACATTTCACCGCTGCGGGCCGCTGAGTCGCTCCGCCGGAGCAGTTTGGAGTTAAATGCCATCCTCTCGGGAATTTTGACAGTAGTTGTTAAGGGAGAGAAGAGTGTTACTCATTAACTCTCTCCACTCACATGTCATCATCTTGTCAGTCTAAAATTCTCCTCCAACAGTGGATGAAATTGGGCTTGTGGGAACGTTTGGACACCTAGGTGGGAGCAATGCAAACAGAGAGAACAGAAACATTGTGTATTTGGATGATACATAATGTCAACTTCTTCCATGCAACCACAGTCCATCAACTCCTGGAAAGTGTTGAGCGTAATTGGGTCTGAGAGTGAGGGGAAAGAGGGAATCATGTCCTTGCAGGCCAGTGGAATTTAATTTCTCTGCTCCACTTAACATGCTGGAATTCTTCAGGAGCACTCCTTGACAGACAAAACTTTTAGAATCAGGAATTTCACAACTTGAATGTTTTTTGCCTTGGGAAAATATGACAAAGAGGAAGGTGCAGCATAGAGCTAATATTTCTAATATTTTCCATGATACTAGCTATGTATGACCCAGCTTGACCCAGCTCCCACCTGCAACTTGGCTGCCTTGTCAAACCTGCCAGCGATGGCATGCCTCATGTCATGATGTCATCTATAGGCACCAATCCAGTTGTTTAAACAAGTACCACCTGGGCCGTGAACACACCTGTCACAGCACATTAGAAGTCAGCATACTAAGCGGGTTGCATGAAGATATACCTTAAACTAACAGTGTGAGATGTGATTCTCCATCAGCGGGAGATAGAGATATTTGAATCATTTGGGTGTCTTCCGGTTGGAAAAGTGAGCTTGTGACCACCAACATTTAAAAACAAATGTGTTTTTGAGACTATAATTGTTCTGACCAGCTTCTGTTTGTCTGTCATATGTCATAAATGTTACTCACCCAGAGTTGTCGCTTTGAATAAAAGATTTGACACTCAGGTTTCTGTACTGCAAGTATGAAACAACAGCCAGGGAATGCTTAGCTTAGCTTATAGAATAAAAACCCATGACACAGGGGGACACTGCCAACCTGCTCTGTCTAAAGGTAAAAAATCCTAGACAAACTAAATATATGTGTTAAATAGTTCCCCCTTTTCCATTCTCTATACTTAGCTAAGCTAACCAGCTGCTAACTGTAGCTTCATATATACTGTACAGAGAGACAGTGAGTGGAATTAATCTTCTCATCAGTCTTGGCAAGAAAGTGAATAAGTATTTTTTTCCAATATTTCAAACTATTCCTTTAAAAGGTTAACCCAAATGGTAGCCTCCTCATTCATACAATGGCAGTGAATACATTTTGGTTTGTGGGACTTGAAACATAAAAACAACCTTTTCATAATCAGTGTCCTGGTTACTCGTGATAATCCACAGAACATGCTGTCAACAGTTATCATGGGACTGTTTCTTTGGTAGAAAGTATTTTCAATGAAAACTGTTAACAGAGAAGTCTGTGTATTGTCCACATTAACATTGTTTTTTGGAAAAGATACCTTACTGTTGAATGTTTCCAACACTGTCAGCACCATGAATGAAATTTAATTCTATTTTATCTTATTTGGGAACATCAGAATTGCCAGAGACAGACATTTGGGAAAGGATAACCACAGCTATCTGCATGAATGACTATTGTTAATTTAATAAATTTATAAATTTTTATTGATTTCATTTGGTAATTTGCTGCAATTATTTAAAAAAAACAAATAGGAAAGTGGAAACTTCTACATGATTTGCCTCTAGCACATACACTTACTGGAGATAATTATTTTATTATCTAAACACCTACAGATGTATATCACTTCAATTTTGTTTCTAATGACTTACAGACTGGACAGTATTATCGTCACCTCATCTGCCTTGTTAACCCCTCCACACATACAGTATATCCTTACACACACACACAAACATGCACATACATACACATACACACATTCACTGGCAGTCCTGGTTATTGATGGGAGTTTGTGAAAGAGGACAGTTATTAGGGGTCAATGCAAACTGATCAGGGGTGAACGGGGTTCAGCGTCTGCTGTGAGGTGAGAAGGTGCTCTTGTAAAAGTGAGAGCAAGTATTTTCTAGAACACTTTTACAGGAGTCCTTTACCTCAAGGCTTTCCTGCAAATGCTTATTGTACCAAACTACACATGCACATACACGTGTCTGTCTGTCTAACACACACTCTCTGTCTCAAACACACACACACATATACACATAATCATTTTTTTTTATCAATCAAAGACAATGACATACTGAACCTCAGGCCTTACCCTCATTCTTCAAATACTTAATACTTTCCACTGTCTAACTCAATCACAATTTAATCATCTGCCTGTCTTTCCATTTCACATTCACAAACACAACATAGAAAATATTATATTATTGCTCTGGTCTCCCATGGCAACACCCTGAAACCAAGCCTCCCTCTGTAAGATTAAGATGTTACAACCGCTCAGTTGCTCAACTGCTTCCCAAACTGTTTATTCTTGGACAGCAATCATGCATCGGCTGTGCTCAAAGGAGTCTTGCTTTAATCAGAAATATCTGGTTTGCCCTTGGATCATAAATTTCCAAAGAGGCCAAATCACAGGATGATGTCTGGACAGAGGAGCAGATCCCTTCCTACGTAATACATAGTCTTATTGGAAACAGTGCAGAAGTGATTGAAGTGTGTCCAGACATGTGCCAGTGTAGTCGGCTACAAACATCTGATAAACTGGACTCCACTGTAACCCTGCATTAATGAGGAAATAATGAGGACAGAATGTGTTTTGTTTTGGGAAAACACTCTCACAATCCTTTTATGCACCCTGGCACGATGTGATGTGAGTCCGTATCTGAAGGCTATGGGTCCATCTTTCAGCACATACTAAAACTCCAAGTTAAGCAGAGACGACATTGTAGGCCTCCGAAGAGCTGTGACTGTCTGTAAACTGTAGCACACGAGGCCTGAGTGGCAATTACATTTCTGAATGTGAAAAGTGAAAGTGCAGATCCAGCTGGGCACACACCTGCAGACAACCACAATTCAAAGCGATGAAGTGATTTTGTGATGATGCTAAATTGAAGCTGCTGCTGTAAACCGTTGGGGAGCACAGACAGTCTTAAGGACCAGCTGTTTATGAGATGGACAGACAATACTGACAATTATATTTGACAGTGTTGAATGACTAGCATGCTAACAAACCTTGCGATGCTTTTGTTCAAGTACTGCATATCATCAACATTTAGCCAATGCTTGAATGCCGCTGACTATATACTATTATCAATATTTTTGTATTAACAATGCATTAAATGACACAGAGGGAACTATCACCAGACTCTGAACTTCCTCTCAGCTCTTTGGAGTGTTTTAGCATCTTTCAGTTTATTGGCTTGGTTTGTTTTCAGCAAAAAAGACTCTGATAATGCTATTGTATGCAATGCGCCCGGCACAAAAAGCTCACTGGCACACAAGTTTGCCACTACCTGGCAGGCGTAATGCAACATTTCACCACTAAAGAGCCAGATAATTGTCCATTCATCAGATGGACAGAAACAGGACATATTTGTTGGTTGCGTTAATACGTAACTGTAGAGAGCTGTAGATTCGCTAAAAATGGTCAATTGTTTGACTTTGAAGAGAGGAAAACGATTAAATGCATGTACATTGATTGTAGGTTTAGTTTATTATCTTTCCAGGCGTCAGACTTTTTACAAATGTCCCCTTACTTGTGTTGAGTCAGCTGAGGTTTCAGCATCCATGCAAGCTCTCAGACTTGAGGCCATTATTTTGCACATGATGAATTGAGTCATCTATCTCAAGTGGTTGTTTATTATTTCCCATTTATGCTGTTTCCTCTGGGGTCTTTTAACATCATTTTTTCTTTCTTACAAGTTGACTTAACAGTTTTATATTGTGTTAAAGTCTGACTAAGAGTTGAGTTACTTATTGTCTGGATGTAATGTTGGCCTGTTGGCTAATTGTGTCACCCCTGCATTGCATAGCATCCAAACCAAAAGAAGAGCAAAGAGGCAGTTGCTATCCAAAACTGAGTGATGGTGACTGTTTTCTTTGTTATGTTTTGAGTAAATTTAGTAAAGGAGGAGACTGCAGATTACTTATTGTCCTAAACATTTAGCATCCAAGCAAATTCTCATTTATTTATTTAACCATCAAACTAGTTTTTCAAGTTCATGCTTTATCCGAATCAGAGTTACTTTAAATGCCAAGTATAATAAATACAGAGGAAATTGTACTGGTAGCACTGAAGATATGGTGTACAGAGATGAAGAGTTGGAGTACATACTGTCACATTGTGTAGGCGCAACAGGTCTTTATGATAAGGGACAAATAAGACTATTAAACTTTATACAGACAGTTTATCCTGACGTCATTTGTTTTGCAACAGAAAAATCCCTGCGGTCACACAATGAGAAACAGACATCTGTGGACAAGGGCCTGAGGGAGACCTGGGAGCCTTCTATCCATCTGGATGGAAGACCTGTGGACCGCTTTGTCGTCAGCTCCAACAAACCCACGAGGTCTCACCGCTTCACTAAAGTGGGAAAGGAGAATCGCTCTCATCTACTGGAGGATGTAGGTAAGGCAGAAACAGAAAGAAAAATAAAAAGAGAGGGTGAGAGGAAGACGAGGATGTGAGATGTTTGAGTGACGTGAACAAATCAGGTGCGAGCTAATGAGGGACCTGAGGAGTACTGGTAGCACTGCAGGACAAAAAAAGTAATTCAGAGGAAAATAAATGATCAGAGAGAAAGTTTGGCTTTAAAATATGGAGAGTGAGCTTTCAGATCCCAGAGTTATGCACTTTCTCAAGGCAAATGCCAAGAATGAGGAAGGGATGAGCAAAGCTGTGTAAAAAGCCGAGACGCCAGGAGGCGAGGTGTACACACATGTGTGAATGCGTGGATGATTAATTTTTGTCAGTGGTTTAGTTCATCATTGGATGTGCTGTCATCCAGGTTTGCCTCAAGGACAGAAAGAGCACTGTCGGTGGTGGTGTGAGTGACTGCCGATCGTCATCCCAGCTCACCAGACATGGTTATTTTAGGCTTTAGAAGAAGGGCATTATTTTTAGATCTTAACAGATTCTGGTTATCCCTAATCCCGCCTTGTAAAACATAAGGCAGGTCTTTATGTTTCTATACACATACAGTTTGCAGTGTTGACACAGTCTAGCCTGCTTTTGTCATTATTCCATTTTCCTCTGTCCTTGGCTTCATGGAGCCATACTTCATCAGCGGCTCAAAGTCTGCAGCCAACCCTTCTTTTCCACATCCAAACCCAGCCCAGCTCCTATAACCCAGTCCCCTGTGTTGTGGTCACTTTGTGTGTCTGTGCGTGTGCAACATGTGTGTGTTTGGTGGTGATTGTGGTAGAAGACAGGGTGGCGCCAAGTGCTGAAGTCATACATTGTCTTGTATTGTCCTATCAGTGTGCTCAAACATACATCTATAGATGCTAGTGTGTGTGTGTATGTGTGTGTGTGTGTGCCGCCCAATGTGTGTTGTGGCGGCCTTGTGGTCTCTCCAGCTCCGGTGCAGTTTGCCATAAATCTCTGGCAACCGAGCAGCGTCTCAGTTTGCCTTTCCAGAAATTCCTTGCAGATCATGTGTTGTTCCCTCAGCAGCATGAGAGCAGCATCAGTTGTCATAAATAACACCATGCAGTTTGCCTCCACATCATTAATGTGTCTGGCCAGGTCGCTGTTAAAACAACAAATATGTAGAGAGGACTTATTAGGAGCAATGTGAAGCAAGATGGAGAGTCAAGGAAAATGGTAGATTAAGAAAAGGCTCACTTTTCTCACTGATAATGGGAAAACACATCATAAACTCCATAAAAACAAAATGTACTGCTTGCTTACTAGATTCTACTACAACATAATTTAACCACATATCCTATGTTTTTTTAGACCCTGAATGGGTTAACCTGGATGGCTTTGCTGTGTTGGGCGGTGCACCTGTCAGCAACTCATCAGCAGGTAAACCTGATCTCAAGGCATCTTTACCAACAACACATGGGATTGGTGTGTTTCAGCACCCATAAAATGTAAAACTACCTATGGTTCAATCCGTTAATATACATAAAATATTTATATAAAAGGAACTGTCAAATGTAAGATGGGATCAGTGGGAAAAACTCACTTGTCTCTGACTCATAGATTCCCATCTCTTTAGTTAGGTATGTTTTTCTTGGAGGTTATCCAAATTTAAAATGTATTTCAGAGTTTTGTTGCCTTTAATGGTCTACACCACATTACTTATAACATATTTGCCTGTCATTGCTTTCAATAGACTGTAAAATGAAAGGAAATCAGTAGCAGACAAAATTGCTTATAACCTCACTGCCATATAGTGGGTAAATAACATGCTGTCTGTGGATATATTTAGGAATGCACAGTCAATATTGATTAGTCAAACAATAGAAAATGAAGTGCCAACAATTTTGACTGACTAATAATTAAAAATCATTAATCAAGCAAACATTCCGCAAATTTGCTGTTTTCAAATTCCCCATTGTGGAGTTTTTTTGTTAACATTTCTGTATATGTTCTATATACATTTTATATAATAAATGTAATACCTTTGGATTTTGACATGTTGGTTGGAAGGGATTAACAAGCAATTTAAAGATATGGCACTTTGAGCTCTAAAGCTTGTGTTGATTAATTAATCAATAATGGGAATAATAAATTATTTGCAGCTTTAACATTTATCTGCATTTATCAAGCACAGTAAGTCAAGCACAGTAAAATAAGTGTACCTAAGCTTGAGACTAGACATTTTAAATTAATATTGGGTTAATTTTCATTATCTGTTTACTTCTGTGTATCATTGGACATTTAAGAACATGCCATGTAAATGGCTAACCACTGAACCACCATGCTGCTCTGGAGTTTCAGTTGTACACAGCTAATCATATTTGTTGAGTTTAACCTCAGTGAATGGAGCCAAGTACGACTGTGTTTCTGGCAAAGTAATGCTAAAGTAAAGCCCAGTGAAAAGGAAGGGGCAAAATAAGACATTGCATGTTATGAAGGCTTGCTAACACACTTGCCACCACCCATAAAATGTTGAAGTTATCTAGCTAGCTAATAGCTAATGGGACATTATGTATCAGTGTATCCAACACCACCAAATGGTGTCCAGTCTATGGCTTTAGGTACACAACAACACACATCAACTTTGAAGATCAATTTATTAGCTATTAATGTTCATTAGCCAAGCAAAACCTCTAAACATTAGCAACTGTTACAAAGCTAGCAAACTTACTGACAACTGTCAAATGCTTTCCAACATTAAGTTAAGTTTTAGATTTAGGCTAGCTAATTAGCTCAGTTGGATTATTCTTCCAACCACTCAAAGCGCTTTACACTGCATGTCACATTCACCCACTAACACATTCATGCACTGATGGCAGAGGCTGCCATGCCAAGTGCTCATCAGATGGAGACAAACATTCAGGCACACACTTCCAGAAAGGGAACAAGGAATGAGGCAAAAAAAAACAAATGAAGACATTGGCATTAGAAATGGATATTCAAATGGAGCAACTGTGAACCTGAAGTTAGCTTAAGTTATGTTTTAAGTTAACAGCAGGTAATTTGCACAGTTTACATTTTAGTTTATACTGTAGAACCTGATAGTCTGGTAAGCTACTTAATAAAGGAAGGCAAAGACATTTGCATTAGTGTTGTATTTTCATATTTTGACTGCTTGTTGTTTCTTTGCCATTCGGGTCATTTTGCTAATTTTGTTTCCACCATGATACCCAAACCCAATTACCCAAATACCAATTTAGTGCAAGTTTACAAAGATTTGCTTTTGAAGGTGGCAAAATGTCAAAGTCGCTGGATAAAAGCCTTGCTTTCTTTAGCTAGTTTTGACCTTCTTCAGCATCAGTCTGAAAACAGTGAGGTGGGTCTGTACTGTAGCAGTGATATGTCTGTCTGGAGGCTAGTCTCATAGCACCTCAGACCATCGAGTTTCCAGGAAAAGACAAAGTCGACAGTTTAGTGGTTCGCGGCGTGGTGACCTGGGCCAAACTATGCACTGTGACAGTTTTCCAGAGAGAGAAAAAGAGGAAGAAGAAAAGAAGGAAAAGAAGAAGCTGGCTGATTAAAACCAAATGTTTTTTTTTTAAGTCAACAAGTATGAGCAGAATCAATACAACTGGTACAGTGGGAATGAGACAGAGGATATTAGTGTTATTCTTGAAAGTGTTACCTCAGTAGCAGTCAAAAACTGAAATATACAGAAAATAAAGAAAAACCATAAGATACTGTATCAAATTCACTATCAATATGTAATTGATGGGTTATAAGTCATTGCAGACTTTCAAATGAATCTGTGTTTTCGAATACATTTACCCTACAGTACAGTGACATACTATAACTGACAATAATATATGATAATCAAATAAATGCAATGTTCTCAGGTAGAGTTTAAAGTTTTAGCATATATTTAGAAGGCATTTTAAAATAATTGTAAATCAGTGACATTCACATTGAATTTTAAGAAGATGTTTCAGAAGCAAGCATGCAATGCAAATCTTAAATTGTCTGGCACACTTAATACAGTCTGCTTATGTACTAAATAGCAAACAACTAAAGCAACTGCCGACAGTATATGATTTGCTGTAAATGAGATGTAATTACACAACACTGGTGTTACGTTAAATTTTTATGCTTTCATTTTTTATTTTGATGGTAAATTTGAATGGTAAAATACAATTTCTACTAATTTCACCATTAGCAGACGTACAAACAGTTTGCTGTTGCGTTGGCAGACAGACAAGAAGAGTATACAGAACAGATTATCCAAGAAACTTGTAGGTGCAGAAGAATATTTGAGAGAAGAATTTGAAAACAGGAAAGGAAAAGCAACATCAGAGAGAGAGTTGTTGCATTACCAAACAAAGGGGACAAATCCACTCAGTTGGGCTGGAAGAATAGAGGAAAGGATAGAGACACGAATGGAGAGCTCGAAGTCCTAAAAACTTGCTGACACAAACCCCCCTTCTTTCTTCCTGGGAGTGTGTGCATTTATACTCCTATTCATATCCTCATCTTTTTTTTCCACCACATGTACAGTGTCACGGTGGAAGGTGATCAGCACCAAAACTCTCCCTTTTTAAGGCATTGCTAAAGAAAACATTTTGGGTGTGGTGGCCTCTCTTGGAAGGCAATTCTCAGTTGGCATACCCTACCTGTTTGTTGGAAAGGGAAACCCTACATTACATTTTTTATCCTTATAACCACTTTGAATTTAGTCAAATCCACTTTTGTTAAATCAGCTGACTTGTCAGTGCTCACCCAGCTGTGCATGCAGGTGATGGGAAACAGGGTAGTTCCTCATCATTTGACAGTGATTATGATAAATGGATAAAGGAGGGATAGAGGGAGGATAGAGGGAGGAGAGGAAAGAAAGAAGACAAAGGAGTGGGAGGGACAAAATAGTTTTTTGTTATATTGCCAATGCTATCACTCAGCAGCCAGATGAGGGGGATTGTCTGGCTGTCTGAGCTATTGTTCGAAATAGAGTCAATACTAGGGTGGGATTACAGCAGGAAGAAGGACACCAGAAGTTGGAGAATATGACAGTGGACATGGTGGGGTTACAGATAATTTCCCTTTTGTGACAATGAAGCATGTTTACTGTCATTGTTGGATGAAAGGGACTTGTAATTATGTGTTTATCACTGAATGGATGTGGCTTGAGTGGAGCAATTATATTCATTGATTTTTACATGGAAGTTATTTTTAACAAGGCCCTAAAGGCAAATCCAGCGCAGAGCACAGATTCTGAATGAACAACAGGGTCATAAAGGTGAATATGAACTCCAGTGCACTCTGACCTTTTCCCTCCATTATCATCCACCAGCAGGTCCAGCCAGGTCTCCACAAACTGCTGCCAGAAATCAGCCCTCTGCACAGCGGACCACCAGGATGGGCAGGACAGCTCACCCCTTGGGTGTATCTAATACCAGGACACATAGGAGGGCCCCTCAGTCCTCCTCGGGTCCAAGGCAGCCTGAGAGAGCTTTGGCAGGAGCTCCCCCACTAGAAAGGAGACGCCAACACCACACCAAGCCTCAATCTGATCAGAGAAACCGAAACGCACACAAACTAAGTAAGAGGACACACACTTTACTCTCTTAACCACCAGATTAAAGGAGCCAGGCTTTGCGTTCCAGCAAAATTTCATGGTGAAAAGACTGGCAACCTCCAAATTACATTTTGCAGATCCTATTTTGTGATTTAATTTTTTTACTGAAAAAGAGCTAAATGTATAAATTGTGTCTGTACTATCTTTAGTGTCCATAGTGTAAACCCTGGCCGTGCCTGGTATCCCTTTCTATTCATAGCATCTGAGTCCGTTCATGTGGTGTCACTGCAGGCACAGAAAGCCGTGGGCCGGAGCGCATCGGCCAACAGAGCGGTCGCATCCAAACCAACCACACCAGGTACCTGCAGGTTTATAGAAAATCACTGCATGTCTCTACTCATTATATATATATGTAATTCTCTGCATTGTAAATATCTCAAATCAGCTCATCAATAAACATGTAAATTGTAAACAGCATTACGTTTTGGTTGTCATGTTAGCCAAAATGAGAGGCCGGCCTATAACCAAATCCAATGATCTTAGAGGAGATGTTAATCTTGGTTTGGACCTAGATATTTTTGTCCCTACGTCTTTCTGTTTGTGTGTTGCCCAGAACCACCGGAGTATGAGGCACGGGACATCAGTGTTAGGGTCATGTCTCCTCAGTCTGTCCTTATCTCCTGGGTTGACCCTGCTGTTGAAATGGGGAAGATTGCTCCCGGGGTGTCCAGGTGAGATCTGTTAAAGTGTGTGTGCCTGTTGATGAAACATAGAGAAGAGTAACAAGAGAAAGAAAGTGAATTACAGATAATGGAAGATTGAGTAAGAAATAATGTTGACCCTTTCAAATGGAATAAAAGATTCCCATTTTCTCTTAACCCAGATCCTACACAGTTAGGTACAGAGAAAAGGGCGAGTCAGCACGCTGGGAGTACAAGGACAGCACCCAGAGAGAGAGAGAGAGAGAGAGAGTGATGATAGGCAACCTTACTGCTGACAGCATGTATGAGTTTTCTATCAGAATCTCTCAGGGAGAAAAACATGGGAAGTGGAGTGTCTCCGTCTTTCAGAGGACCCCTGAGTCAGGTATGCACAGTCACCGCCTGCTAAGAACTGCTTATAGAATTCCATTTTGAAGGTTGCAAAATAGCTTAGGAAATGTGATGAATAGTGTTTTCAGAGGAATGGCTATAGACTGTCAAAGCCCTGCATTTTCCTTTAGAATATTAAAAGAGAAAGGATTCTTGCAGAAAGGAATTCAGGCTTGCATAACCATGTCTGTTAGCTCTTTTCTTCTTATTTCCTCGTACCACACTTCATCACATTCACTGCCTATTACTCTGATTTGATATTTGATTCAAGCGTTGGCTGCAGCTCTGTCATGATTGCAGCTTTTATACCATGTCATGGCAGCTCCTGAGCTGCGGTTCATTGGGATGTCAACGTTTACTGCCTGGCTCACAGCTCAGATTTCCATCTGCAGTTCCATACATAATCTCAAGGGGAGGTTCCTGACGATGTATGTCAGCAGTACTTTCCTCAGTTGAAGCATCCTGGCACAAACGTCCTCTCTGTTTTTACGTGCAAGTTTTTGTCCTTTACTCCTCCTTTTATTGCTATCTTTGTATTCACATGTGTTCTCCTCACTTGCTAGCACCATCTGGGCCACCACAGAACTTTGAGGTCAAGCCTTTAAAAGGGAAAGGAACTGCTGTGATAGCAACATGGGATCCACCTGAAGAACCCAATGGGAGGATAAGAGGTCAGGCCAGGCAGATTAAAGTAAAATGAAAATAAATTATTTTTTGCTAAGAAACCAATATATATTCTTTGTAGTTGACTCATATGGTCAAAATTGTAATTACCAAAAAGGGAAATTTAAGTTTTATTCATTTTTATTTCATGGTAGCGCAGAAAACTAAGCACTCTCTAGTGGCCAGGAATTTTTGGTTTTGAATGACATATCGGTACTGTAATTTGTAAACAAGGCCATTGGCTATGACATTTTGGTCATCAAACCACCTCTCTTCACAACAGTTGTTGATGCTCTTCCTCCACACAGAATACATCCTGTCTTATGCTCCTGCTATGAAGCCATTTGGAATGAAAAGTGTGACGTCCCGTGGCAGCACCACCACGGCCACCATAGATGGCCTCACACCGGGAGACCGGTACATCTTCACGATTAGAGCCACCAACAGGAGGGGACAGGGACCACAGAGCAAGGTCTCAGTGTTGCCATGCCAAGATGTAAGCACATTTGATTGTATACAGTATGTGTATGCATATGCTTGAAAATTTGATTAATCCTTAATTCAATTTGTCTATTGCCAGCCAGCAGCGCTGCCTTATCGTTTCAAAGACCAAGGACAGCGGAAGGACTAGTCACACTTCTTCCAAACAGGAGACCGACCATGATGAATCTGACGTCCAGTCAACAGAGGGGCCAAAAGAAACAACCAAACCCCCTAGGCGTCAATCCCAACTTTCCCAGACACGCTCCTATCACAACATCTTCTCCTCTGTAAGGGGCTCAGTCTGGAATGTAGGGTCATCCAGAGTTAAAAATAGAGAAAATGAGAAGGAAGAAAAGAGAAAATAATCACAACGCCACCTTCAGCAGAGGAGACAACTACCATGAAGGTTGTCCTAGAGACAAAAGAACCAGACAACGATGTTTCCCCTGATTCTGAGGATGAAGTGGGATATGATGAAGAGCTCCTGACTACAGAAACCCCAGCCTCAAAGTTTTGACACCCTACCCAACTAAACCTGCGTCTACTCGTCCTAACCGACCTCCCAGAAGGCCCATTAAGATTAGGGTCCATCAAACACCAGGATCCAAGGCTGCTTCCTCCTCCTCATCCACCTCTTCATCTTCTTCTACTTCATCATCCTCATCTTCTGCCAATTCCTCTGCTTCTTCTGATTCCTCCTCATCTTCTTTACCCTCTACTTCCTCTTCATCCTCATCATCCTCACCTTCTACAACCTCATTATCCTCCTCCTCACGAATTCAAGAGTCAGCTGCAGTAGAAAGGACTATGTAGCTTCCACATACCCAGAGGGCAAAATTGGTTATGACAAGCCCAGAGCACATAAAAAACCCTCCACTACAGTCTTAAAAGAGACAAATTCACAGCAGACAGAGGCAACATCTCTAGGTAGAGGTTCAGTTTCAGCCAGACGCACCAACGGGTCTGGGCTTGTCTCTAGATATGGTTATGGTCGAAGACATCCACTTTTGTTCAGAGGGAATTCAACTCGAATGCTGAATGGTTTCAAACCAGTCACCTCACAGTTAAACTTACCGAACAGAACGCCTAACCAAGCAACATCAAACACTCGTAGTTCAGCAACATCACAGTCCACTTTACCAGACAGGACTCCAAACCATGAAACATCACATTCTTTCAATTCAGCAACATCCAGGTCCCCCTTAGGAAGTGCAGCCCGAAGCCAAGCAACATCAGATACAAATAATTTTGACACATCGCAGTCCACATCAGAGTCTAGATCTCAAGGCTCTACAACTTTAGGGAGCTCAGGCACACATCATCCACTTCATATAGCAGCTCAGATCACCCATCCACCAAAGACACACAAGGCTCTTCTCAGTCAACTTCACACAGAGGATCTCACAGATCTGCAAATTCACACAACACACAGAGTTCACACACGTCACCTGAGCGAGGCACAACAATGAGGGAGGGAAATGATGAGAGTAATTACAAAAACACAGATGCAGTAACTAAAGTTGAAGAGCGTACTTCAAGCATCAACCTGCAACCCACAGAGGAGGAGAGAGGAGAGGAAGTGGGGAGGGAGGAGAAAGTAATGACAAACCTTTGGTTCCTCATACCAGAATTAGCTCATCATTTGCTGAAAGATTCCCTAGGCCAGTTAACCGTTACCCAGGCAAGTTTGGATTAGGAACGAGAAGGTCATCTTCCAGGGAGGGTGGCATGACCAGGATTTCATCCTCTATTGTGGCCAGCAGACACACAAGGGTTTCAGGGGCCACAGGTGCTGCAGGAGTGTCCACAATACAGGAGACTAGTGAAGCTCTGAAAACGTCTTCCATTCAAGACTCTCTAAAGAATGGGGTGGGTTCTGTTAAGCCTTCTTTGACCAATCAAAATACAGCATCTAGTGACACTACAAACCCATCTACCTCATCCTCTTCCTCTTCAGCAGCCACTTCTTCAAACTCTGATTCTGTTCATTCCTCTAGTGGACACAGAGACTCAAGTGACTCCATCTATAGAGGGACCTCTACTGACAATAATAACAATCAAAATAAGGATTATCTTGATGAGAGTAGTCAAGAAATAACTGGAAAAAATGATAAAGTTGCAGACCCCACAGCAGCCCAAAAAAATCCTACAATAACTTCACTTGAACCTCACAGAAATGTAAGGACAGTGAGAGTGTGTATACTAGGGAAACTTTCTCTAGGAGACCTGGCTCACCATCTGGAGACACTCATCGTCATCATGGTGTAGGGACGAATGGAAGGGGACACCCTCCACTTTCGACTAACATGCATTTTGGTGGCTCTGGGCTTCCCAACAGACTAAAGCCAGCAAAGACCTCAAGGCTGGATTCTTCAACGTCGGATTCCTTCTCTCCCTCCTCATCGTCTGCCCGCTCTTCTTCTTCAAATGTGCCCCAGCCAGTTTTGACCTCAGATCGTGATGTTGGAAGTGGCACAACTGTGACAAGGACAGGAGGATTAATTAGAGGCAACTCCCTGTCCACATCGTCGTCCTCAGCATCTTCATCATCATCTACAGACAGCTTTCGGGGACAGGGGGGAAAGTCTCGCAATTCCATCGTCAGAGGGAAATTCACCAATGGAAGACACCCCAAGCCTGACAATGGAAATGGTAAAGTACATTGGTAAAGTGCATGTGATTAAAAGTTGCTGCCACTGTCAGCTACTGTATAACTGAAAAAGGTGCAAGGATTTTCTTGAGCAAGAAGCTAAATCATAGATACAGTGTTGGTGTATGAGACTGTGATCATTGAATTATATAGTAACAAAATAGCTCTGCTTAAATCGTATAATCATTAGGTAAAAATGGACGACCCAACCTGACAGCAACAAATGATAAAGAGTCGTCTTCCTCTGATGGAACCAGCAAGGCCGTTGGTCAAAGGTTTATTACTGGACCTGATGGAACCAAATGGGTAACTATATTTATTGAAATGATTGTAACCATAGTTGTAATCCATTGAGAATTATAAATTGAGAAGAATAATACTCAAGTCTAAAACCAGGTGCAAAATGTACCAGAGTATCCTGTAGATATGGTCTTTAAGATCTTTAAGTACTTTTTTTGTTACTGACATATTTAGTATGAGATACTGTAGGTGGTACTGTAATATATTAAGCTTTTTTCTTTTATCAAATACACCTTTACACTTTTTTGCAGAGAGTTACCACCACACTTACTGCTCTCACATCTGAGTGGTACATATAAACCTAAAACTTTTTGTCTCTCCAGGTGGTGGACTTGCAGCGGGGGGTTCTTCTGAACCAGGATGGACAAGTTCTCCAGGACTCCCAGGGTAAACCCAAGAGAGTGGTGCTTGGAGAGGATGGACGCACAATTTTTGGTGATATGCTTCAGTCAATCTTACATGACATTTAAATATAAAAGATACAGTATACAGCTTGAATATGTAAATGAAAAAAATACTTTAGTCACTGCCATTATTAGCTTACTGTTAAAGACAAAATCATGAATGTTCAGTTTCAACCTCCTTCTTGCTCAACCATTCCACCAACTACCAGACCTCATGGGAAGTCCCCTGGTAAACCAGGATGGTATGGCTCTGTTTGGGCATGGACGAGATAGCCGGCCTGTGGTCAACCCCAAAGACAAGGTCATCATGGTTGGAGGGAAACCTGTACTTGGCTTGGACCTTCCTCACCTCAGGACCACAACCACCACCACCACCACCACCACCACCACCACCACGGCTCCTACCACCACACCTGAACCCACCACCACTGAATGGACCGTAGAAGAGTCTACCACCGCACTGCCATACCCAACCTGCCCACCTGGAACCTTCTCCAAAACAGATGAATACGGGTATCCAGTGCTGGACCCAGAAGGAATTTTAGACTGTTATCCAGAAGGTGAGTCTTTGAGAAAGATAAAGTACTTGAAATTAATCATAAAACACTGCAGGCATCCTTTTGAAATATTGATCTAAAGAGAGATTTGTTCTACAGGAATGAAACAAAATACTGCAGTGTCATAACTTGCAATATTGCTCAGGAAATAGCTTTTCCACAGAACTAAAGTGAAGTTCAGTGAAGGGTTTTAGAGCTAGAAACTTAAATAACTGTGACTTCACTAAATCTTTCACTTGTGCTGTTTGTCAAGTCCATCTAGGCCAAGGCTATGAGTGTTTCCTGTCAGTACCCAGTCCTATTACTCTATAACTGTGTGATCTGGTCATTGTGTGTGTGTATGTATGTGTGTGTGGGGGGGGGGGGTAGATGTGTGTGTTTATTCAAGACCACAGTAACCACATGTAAATCTCCACATCTGGGGCCTGGCTGTGGTCAGAGTACTTCTGGTTTAAACGCATTACAATCTGTCTGTTGCACACTGCCATTGGCGTTATCACACAAAGACAATGAATGAAACAAACTTACACACATGCATGAACCTACAATGTGTGGGTATTATAGTTATTATAGCACATGTTGTAATTCGAAAATAATTAAAACTGATCAGATTTGTAGATTTACATAATATCTAATGTATGTAAGTACCCCCCACTCACAAACTGAAAATCTGACTATAGAAGCACAGAACTACCACTGTCAGAACACATTGAATTATAAACAGAAAAGCAGTGACGCTGGGGAACTGGATGTGAACATTTGATTTGATTTTTGTTTAGACAGTAAACAATAGATTGATTATGTGTTGTGAGTGGAACGTACAAATATTTTCTTTTACTTTGTGTATTTAAACCACCGAGTTATATCTTCAGTGTAATTTCTAAGATATTGATTTCTTCATAACAACGGATGAAGTCCCACAAAAAGCCATCTAATTATACTTTTATTATATTGTTATGCAAAATGATGACATACAGGACACTTGTAAAGTCTTAAATAGAGAAAGTGGGACCAGTAGGGGTTACTCAAGTGTCAGAACATGTATTAGTGCTTATACCCGTGTTCAAGTATGTTTCTCTATATGGATGCGTGGGTGTACATGTCTACATGTGTATGCTACATGGTCATGTGAGATTGATGCTACAGCTTGTTCTACTTCTCTGACAGAGGAATCCTCAGGAATGGAAATGGACCACATGGTTACAGTGACCATGGTGCCTGATGCTTTAGCTCTTGAGAAAGGTATTGGCTGAGTTTGGCTTCGGACCGACCTACCGCCATTGGGCTGGGATGGACTAAACTGCCCTATACCCTCATTGTTTGTTGACTGTGTAATGCACTGTTTGTTTATTGCCTGTTTATCTGTCAGTTGATCTGTTTGCTAGCTCTTCCTGTCTCTTCCTCTTCGCCTTGCCTGTGGTTTTCACTTTGTTTCTCCTCTTGTAAGTCTGTTTGGCTTGGTCTTGGTTCATTGCTGGGTTTTTGGATGTTTTCCATTATGGACTGTTTTTAATTACTTTTATTCCAAAAACTGGACCCATAGTGCATGTGAACTGCATTACTAAGCTGAAGAGAATGCCCTGTCTTATGATTTAATGCAACATATTTGCTGTTCTTAACGTTGCTTTGTAATGTAATAGATGAAGCCCAGCTTTAGCCAAACTGCAGCATTGGGTTGATGTAAGCCTGCAGACTTGATAATTTCACTATATGTGTTTGGGTCTCTCAAGGAATCTGTTGCATGTGAAAAACGATTTACGTTTTCTTTCTGTTTTGGGTTTTCCTCAAAAAGACACATTGATCGTCGCAGTACTTTCTTAGCATTTCCCTGTCATGGCTCAAAGCTGGTTGCATGTGTGTGGACCATGATGTAATGCCAAGGTCCACTGATGCAGCACAGTAAAAACTGTCATGAAAGAGCAGGCAGCTAATTGAATTTCACCCACTGAATCTCTTCACATCTGTCAGCCTTGAAGACTTGTGAAATAGTCGTTGTCTTCAAGCCCCCCTCACATGGAAAATCTGGGTAGCAAACATTACATAAGAATGCAGCGGTGTTTGGGGGAAAAGGGGTAATTTCAAAGTGAGCTCACACATCTGCCCTCAATTAGTTACATCAATTTGACACTCTTAATACACAGATCGTGGTGCCAATTACAAAGGATTAATGAAACACAGCAGCATGTTATTGAGTTAGGATGTAAATAATATAAATCTATTTAAATCAAAAGCTCACTGACACGTGTTGTTGTCAGATGAGTTTTTTGTCCAGACCACCCTGCCACCAACAACCACCACAACCACCACCACCACCACAGAGATCCCAACTCCGGAGCCAGATACCCGGCCCGTCAATAAAGGCCCTTCATCCGAGTTAGACCTCAGTGGGAAGAAGCGCTTCACAGGTACTCAAATACATAATTAAATGTGTCTATCAACAAGTGTATGCTCATCTGTATTGCTGTCTTGCAAATGTCCTCTTCTCTTCCTGCTTGCAGTGTTTATTTTCATGTACATGCAAGAGAAAGACACATATTATCCTTACCTCAAATCATAACAAATAGCATAATTCTCTTGCTAAGAAAGTCCAAGAACATGATTGACCATGCATACTTGGTTCTTGAGTATTACATGGTTGTTTATTTGTGTGTCCCTGTTTGTGAGTGTGTGATGGAGGTCTTTTGGTGCCGTAAATAATGATAGGCTAGATGGGATTTCTGTTTTGTTTCATCGAGGAGTAATACATTTGGACCTCCATCTTGGCTTTCTCAGCAATACCTCATAAATATACGGCCCTGTCACTACAGTAACTATTGGCAAAAAAAGGACTACAAACACTGTGTTGTGTGTATTGTAATTGTTTCCTCTCATCCATATCACAAATTGCAAACTGCTTAAGTGACAAACAGCAAAACACTCAACCACTGATTTGTGAAAAACCTGTATGAATATATTGTGTTAATTCAACACTTGGTGGAAAATGGGAATAAGTGTGTCTCTAACGATTTATTCAAATTGGTTACATCTAATTGTAACTGGATCATAATAACAAAGTTCACTGAGGACACGGTGTTCAGGCTCTCTAGACTTGATCCCAGTAAACTTTGGCCCCCTGCTTTCTTTTTACTGTCCCCATGTGCTTACCTTGGCCTCTCATATTTTATTACCTCATCTGGTAAGACAAACAGACTGCAATATTCTCTTGACAGAAATAAAAACAGCATCTACTTGACTCTAATTTTTCCACAAAATACATAATGCCAAAGGTCATTTTAATATTGCTTTGTTTAATGACTTTAATGACTAATGCTTTTTTGTCAAGTTCAGCTGCTGAACTAACAATTGTGAAAATAAGGTAACCACAGACTTAATGATAAAAGTATTTACAGAAGTGTATCGTTGGAAGTTTTTTCTAGTTAACATACAGTAGTTGGCGCAAATGCATTATATTTACTCACAGCAAGTAAGGGATCATATATTAAGAGCAGAGTGATTATCAAAATATAACCCACAACATGGAGGCAAACAACCCCACTGTGTTGATCAAGTTCTTTCAAATCAAATTTTTTTTATTACAGTGGATTATTTCACTTATGTCATGGCCTTGTGCCCAAAACCAGGATATAAAAATTTTATTATTTTTATTATTGTTAACGTAAGACTTTCTGCAAACCTAGAAATAAACCTTACTTTTACTATTTCTATAAGTTTGAGATGATGTAGCCAAGTAATAGCAGAAATAAACAGAGTTTATCAATGAGTATTAGAATGCAGCAATTTAATATTGCACTTTCATAAAGTTGGAGGACTTCCAAGAGACAAATCCTAAAAACAATTAAAAAGCCTCAGCAGAGATATCGTGAGTCCTTAGGGTGGGTAGATGTTCCAAAAACACTGGATACTACACATAATTCAACTCAAGCCAAGATACACCCAACCCAAGCTACAAGATTTTTTTTGTCTTGGTGCAAAATAACGCAACGCAATGATTATGTCCAATCAGACTCAGTGTCAGAGTGAGTGCATTAGCTTCAATGTGCGCCTGCTGGTAGTCTGACGATGTGGATTAAAACCTTGAGTAAAGGCTTCCTTATCACGTATTGACAGATTAAATGCAACTTGTCACTGTCGTTTATATTGATCTTTGTGAAAAAAACTTTTAAAAGGGAAGATTTATGGCTGTGTCTGTATCAGTGCAATGTCAGAACTATCAGTATCATCTTCTCCAGAAGTAACAGTGGAACAATAATACTACTTGGACTCCATCTATCATGGTAAACAACGACTACCTTGTGAGCACACACCTCTCATAGAGCCATCTGAAAGCTGTTACTCTTCCTGAGATAAAAAGAGGCATGAACAGAAAAGCAGTGGAAATCATAAAAGTTAAGGGTGCTGACCTCAGCAAAGTGGGATGGCTGTGTTGGCTCAATGTGGAGACGTCCTCTTTCCTATTTATTAGTTTAATATATTTCAGGTCCACTTCAGCAGCCGCCAGTTGACTAACATGCTTTGCATGAACTGTCTGACAGATACTTCCCCTTTGTCTCTTTATCTGTCCAGGCAAAGATTTTATTTGAATGAATCTAGCCGAAGGCAGACGTGGGACAAAAAATATTAACTAATAATTCTTAGCAGTTGCACAAATCGGATTTACAGTAAGTTCCAAATGGATGGAGTTTGTCACATTGGAATAGAAAATGAGTACAAGGATGTTTGGACTATTAGAATGCTAATTTATGCCTTACTAGACTGATATTAGAGTTGTGAAATAATGTGAACTTTCCTGATGCTGTTTCCCACTGACATTTGTTCCAGTTTTCGTCAGTGTTTTTGGATTTGGTTTTTCAACAAGCAGAAGAAGACAGTGTGTCTCTTTGGGGAGGTGCTTTTATCATTAAAAAATGAACCCGTGAGCAAAGCAAAACATCTGGATCTTCTGTGAGCCTGCACAAATCCTGGACATGCAAATGCTGTACAGAAATACAACCTTACAAGCACCCTGTGTATAGACAGACACACAAGTCTGTAAACCTTGACAACAGATCAAGTATTTCAGTGTATGAATGTGTAATACAAAAGCCATATGACTGCGTGTACACATACAGTAGGAGCTTGTGACAGCCTAAACCCACAAAGTCTCATAGACTGTGTGTTGATGTGTAGATACTGACATGTGTTAGACTTTTGGCCTGTGCAAAGAGCCAATCATCTGGGGAGGTGGGAGCGACTCCAGGCTCCGGTGGTTCCCTCCAAATCCCAGTCAGACTAGAAATTGTGGGATACCTAAATTATTCACAGCTGTAGGTCCAGCTGGCATTTCCAGAGTCACTGAAAACAAACAAAAAAAGGCAGAGCAGGGAAAGATAGGGAGATGGTCATATGAGCAACCAGGCTACCTTCTGATTCCCCTTTAAAAACTTTCTACCAACAAACCACAAATTATTTCAAAATGACTGAATAGGACTGACAAAGTTAAAATAAAATAAAAAACCTGGAAATGCAGTAGTATTGTTGAAATTCTGTTAAGTTTGGCCCATTAAGAACAAGATATTATTTTTTTTATAAATAATGTTAGATAAATATTTGAATTCATTCTAAATTGCCTTTATAAGAAATTATGTAGATAAAATAAATTAAACTTGATTCCTTTCCATCACTTTTCCCTGCTATCAGCTCCCTATGTGAACTACATCCGGAAGGACCCGGGTGCTCCTTGCTCCTTGACGGAGGCTCTGGAATATCTTCAGGTCGACATCTTAGAAGACCTGATAGAGAAGGACAGTCTGGCAGCCAATCAGAAACAGTCTCCCAAAAACAAGCCTCATAACCTCACTGTGGTCGCCATGGAGGGCTGTCACTCTTTCATCATCCTGGACTGGGCCCGCCCACTGAAGGATGATATGGTGTCAGGTAAGAAATGTTTTTCCAAAACTTAAAGTTGAGCTAAAATTAAAAACATTATTTGCTAATTTAACCAAATTTCCAGAAAATGGTTAAAAGACAATGCAAATTTGTGCTTGTTATCATCCACTACTGCTACAATAAATATTACAAGTTTGGCGCATCAGGATAAACAGTTGATGGCGTTAATTCTCCTGTCGGATGCCATTAAACCATTGCAAAAGAAGGGGGCACAATGACATAATGTAATTTAAAGAGTGCCAGTCAAATCTCAAATGATAAAAAACACGTGAAAATATGGCACTTATGTTTGTTCTATGTATTAAAGACAAAACATGTAATTTGTTGTTTTCACGTGTCACTGTGTGGTCTAACACTACAAAGGATATATTGTTTCATCAACCTTTCATCTGTTGGTTATCAGTTTAGGATATGCATTTAACATGTGACCAGCATCCCTCCTGACTCAGATTTTAAGAACTTACTCCAGCAGTTTATCTTGAATAAATCATGAAGAAACAGACTTTATTGAACACATGGAATAGGACTTCTCAGCTCCTACTGAGTTTCTCAGGGAAAACCAAAATTCCTATGACCTAAGAGTGACACGTGGAAGAAAAAAAAGGACAGAAAAGAGACTGGAGATAACAACTTTCTGTATGAGACGTGATGGACTATCAGGGGTAGCAGTCTGGCCAGTGTGTTGCCTTTGGCATGAAAACACAAGCCTCCAGGTCATGTTGTGGGCTGGTCCGTCTTCTGATGTGTAAAACAGATAACCCTCTTTCTTTCCATTTTTTCTCCTTGGTGTTTCCTCTCTGCTCACACACTATCTTGACACATTCTGTATTACTTTAATGCATTTTCCAACTTTAATTTGTGTGGACATTATTGCACCTTTTCACCATTTTATTGCAAAGAGATATGCACAGTACAACAGACATTATCAGCTCCATATGTAGGTACAGTTCACACATGCCGATACAATCATAAGGCGCTGTTTTAGTTATTAGGGCGCGTTTGGTCAACCATGTCGTAGGAGTTATGGGTCACAGCTTTCAAAACAAGTGGATGGAAACAGCTGTTAGCAAGTGGACTGGGGCATTGGTATGAGTTTTTACCTGAACCCAACTTCTGGGTCCATTCACTCTGATGTATTGAGGACCTTTTGCTTGAAGGTTTTGGGCAAAAAATTATTCACTGATTATTATAAGTGTTGCATTTGGCTCAAATGGCCAACTCCTTGGGAAACATGTCATACATCTATACCTAAAGCAGGAAAAGATAGAGTACAGAGGCAGATACTACTCCATTAAACCATCAGTTTAACAATGTATAATGAAAAGGAATAAAAAACCAAAAGAGGAAAAACAAAGTAGCTAGTATTTCCCTTCCCTCCTGTCAGCAGCCAGCTGTGCTGGTGTGGCTCCAGTAAAAACATAACTCAAACTCAAAAGTGCAATAGAAACAGTTGGTAGTTTGAGCTGGGCTCATAGTTTTAAAGTGAAAGATGGAGAGCTGCGTGACCTGAGGTCGCTTCCCGGATTCTAAGGATTAGTCTGCGTGACTGAGAAGAAGAAGAAAACAGACAGAGAGACAGGCAGTTTGGACGACAGTCAGCATGAGTTACTGAAAATGCCAGGGCTGCACTTTTTCTTCAGAGTGAAATGAATACAGGAGACCACCTACTCATAAAGTAATTGGACATGTCCTCTTTTTGGGATCTAAAAAATGCGCCTGGCCAGGATTTCTAAATCGCCCAAAATGTTTTTTTACAGTCGGCATTCATTGTGTGCGTTTTTGCATTGCTTTGATCTTTCTCTTTAGGTCCCACCTTCTCGCTGGTCTAAACTACATCTACAACATTACCCTTAGCACCACAGCAACAGCGAAGAGCCAGACCAGCTGAATGCTTGTCAACAGTGGCACATGGCACAGCATGAAAAATGCCCAAACTCACCAAAGTGCTTCAAGTGTACTCACCGGTACGCAGTAGCGGCACTTCTACATTTTACTCTTTGACGTAGTAGGACTTTTTCTTGTGTACTGGCACGTCTCACAAGCTGCCGATATTCTTCTGTCTGGCGGAGACAGAGTAGGGAGAAGATCGGGTCCTTTTTTATCCAAGCTTGTGCATGAAGTTGCTTATCAATGTCACTTTTTATTAACCAACCAATCACAGCCTGGATGGGGCGGGACATTACAAAAAGGTTGATGTGGATGAATGGTTATGATTATTGACAAGTTAGCACTACTATAAACAATCTGTAAGCAGACATTAGCCAAATAAAGTTTAACCTATAAATATATTAATATTATACTAACATTACAGTTTTTAGCTAATGTATAATATACACTAATTTATATTAGTTACTCCTCCAGGTGGATAGAGCCTCTGCAGTACACTTTTCCACAGTGCCACCAATTACTTGAATCCCCCCCAGCACCAACCTTCCACCCACTGCGGGTGTCCGTTTGCCTCCTGCCTCCACTGTCCTCTCTTTTGAAAACCAGAATATGGTCACTCTACCTTACAGACATGAGAGACTGTAAGGTAATTGTCGCATCTAACTCTTGACAAGTTTGAAAATGTCTCAAAGTCTCAAAATGTAAAAGTACTCTTGGATGAGAGGCTTCCAGTATTTTCAAGTCCACTTGTCACAGAATTAACATTCCTTGGATTATTATGACCTGGGTGATTGAGAATCTTCACAGACTTTGTATAAACATAGGCAATTTGTAACTTTGCTAATAAGGTAATGGTAATGAGCTCTGCCCTGTATTTGTATTGTTCCCTGCAGGCTACATGGTCCACAGTGCTTCATATGACGATGTCCTCAACAATAGATGGTCCTCTAGAGCCTCCAGCGGGACACACCTGCCTGTGGAGAATCTCAAACCCAATTCTAGGTAAGTCATAACCACCTGGTGGGTGTTTATGTCATTGTGTGTGCATGCATACAATGTACACGCTTGAAGAGAGGTTGATGTGAGCACATGCACAGCGCCTTCAGGTTCAGTGAGCCACAGTATCATCTCACACATGGGAGTCACAGAAAACAACAACCTGAACTTAAAAACAAAAATTTGCTTGGTTGCGAGATCCCTTACCCTGACATGCGTGTAATGTTTGTGATCAGGTTACTGCCTCGGCTGCAGGTGCTTGGCTGTGGCTTGGGAGTATGTATTTCTGCTGGGTAGTGTTTATATTGTTATCCCGTTGTAGCATAATGCACAGAATATGCATTTTGGATGCGTGTGAGTTTATGTATGCATATTTGATGTGTCTGTTGGTTTCATGCCATGTTTATGCAAGAATGTGTTGTGATTATAATTATGACATCAAACCAGGCCAACACTGATCAGAGCAGCATGTGAGTTGGATGCTGATCCAGTCAGTTTGGCTGAAAGAAGGCAGGTTAAGAGACACATTTGATTCCACACCAAGACGTGACATGCTGTAAAACTCTGTCGAGACCTTGGAAAATTCAGTGGAACGTAAATACAGCACACATTATCTGACACTTACACACAGATACGGTCACCTCGGTCTGTTTCCTTTATTTCAGCGTGTTCCCACAACCTGTCTTACGGGACACGGGGCACGGTTTTCAAAATAAATGCATGGAAACAGCTCTTAGCACATGGACCCAAGAGAAATGGGGAAATGTTCCTAAAACCTATTTCTTTTTCCATTTACTGCTCAGCATAAAGCACCGTTTACTTAAAAGTTGGTTGTGTAAATTATGCAGGTTTAAAAGTGCTATAAATTCTTAGCTAATGTTCCGTTTGATCAGTTGTTTGTGGGACTAAAGTGGGATCACAATGCCACATGTCTGTTTGTATATCATTTATTCAATATATGATACAAGTTAGATAATTTAAATTGTCTTCTGTTGTTTGCTAAAAACATCTTGATGAAGCACCAGAAGAGAGCTGAATAAATTGCATACACAAAGGCAAGGCAAGTTTATTTGTATAGCACATTTCAACAACAAGGATAATTCAAAGTGCTTTACATAAAACATAAAACAACAGGGAAATATAAAAAAGTTTAAAAGCAACATAAAATATAATAAAAGTTACAGTGTTACAATCAGGGTTAAAAGAGTTAAATGGAAAATAAAAACAGGCTGAGGGGTTGAGCAAATAATTGAGTTACAATCATTTTGAAAAGAGAATAAACAGAGAAGTACACTTAATCTACTCTCTAGTCTGTACTTGGGTCCACAGCAATCTTTGGGTCCACTGAAACTCCAAAAAGCCTCAGACACTACAGAGAAACCAGGACATGTCTGTCAGCAGGCCACTTTGATCCAGTTATACTCTAGACCCACCTGCGCATTTACAGGTGGACAGAGGGTCCTGCAAATCACTCGGGCACGAGATTTAAGACCACTTCCTTCACTCTGTTCAATCTCACTCCCATAATCCCCCAGCTCAATTACCTACTCATTTCTCACTGTGTAAATATTTAATTAAAAGCAATGGTAAAAAGCTAAAAACAAAGAAAAAAGAAAACAGGACAGTAAAAGTTACAGTGCAGTGTAAGTTATCAATAAAAAGAAAAATCTTAAATATTTAATTAAAAGCAATGGTAAAAAGAAAAGTCTTCCGTCTTATTTTAAAAGAACTGACTGTTTCAGCAGACCTGCAGTTATATGGGAGTTTGTTCCAAATATACAGAGCATAATAACTGAACGCTGCTTCTCCTTGTTTAAATTTGACTCTGGGGACAGAAAGCAGACCTGCCCCAGACGACCTGAGAGGTCTGGATGGTTCATAACGAAGCAGAAGATCAGAAATGTATTTTGGCCCTAAACCATTTAGTGCTTTGTAAACTAACTGCAGGATTTTGAAATCAATTCTTTGACATACAGGAAGCCAATGTAAAGACCTCAGAACTGGAGTGATGTGATCCACCTTTTTGGTCTTAGTGAGGACTTGATCAGCAGCGTTCTGAATCAGCTGCAGCTGTCTGATGGATTTCTTAGGGAGCCCTGTAAGGACACTGTTACAGTAGTCAAGTCGACTGAAGATAAATGCATGGATAAGCTTTTCCAGGTCCTGCTGAGACATAAGTCCTTTAATCCTGGATATTTTCTTCAGGTGATAGTAGGCTGACTTTGTAATTGTCTTAATATGGCTCCTCAAATTCAGGTCCATGACCACACCAAGATTTCTGGCTTGATTTGTGGTTCTTAACATTACTGATTGAAGTCGAGCACTGACTTTCAATCAGCTCCAGCAACAATAACTTCAGTTTTATCCTTGTTTAATTGAATTGAAGGTGAAACTGCTAGCAAGCTGTATGTCACATAACAATGAGGCAATCAAAGTCCTTACTGGAAGTATGAAATGTGTTATCCTTAAAAACATGTGGTTTTTGTCTTTGTGATTACACATGGTTAAGATACAGTATGTCCACAGGCTGTGTATATTTTTCTGAAACCCCATAGATCTGTTGCACAAATGAGATGAAATGGAGATGACAGATACTTGTGTGGCCAGATAATCCACCAGATACTGCGTGGCTGTTCCCCATCTGGTACTCCATAAAAATATATTTGTGCATTGCACTTTTTAGTAATAGCAAGTAATCTAACCATTATCGGATGGGGAAAAAAACTGTTTCAGATGTGAGAGTTCATCAGGAACAGAAGTATCCTCTTACCAAGTGGAAGCACAAATCAGTTTGAGGTGTTATAATAGGTGTGTCGTCTTGGGCCGTAGGAAAACAAACACCTGCTGCTGAACGCAAACAGCACAGCTGCAAAGAGGGTTTCCCTCCCTGGCAACCAGTGTGTATCCACGATAGTGCGTCGCTTCTGGTTACGGCTGATCATAGGATGGTTTATGGGACACTGTTGGCATTTCCCATTCTGTAGGCTCCTTCTGGTTGCCAGAAATACTGAGTTACTGTAGTCCTAAACACACACATATGTAGGCCTATGTACACTCAATGTGGTTGGCTCCACAGGGTTTCCTGCTCATAAGATTAATAAACGGAATTAATTACAAAGGTCTTTAAAACTTGAACATTGGATCCAACTTTGGACCAGTTATAGAGATTAACAGATCTCATTAATCTGCAATTATTTTGATTATTGATTATTGGTAAAAAAAAAAAAATGCTTATATATTATATATACATTTAATATTTTATCATTTGAGCTTGTGTGAGAATGTGAATTTGCTGCTTTTATTTCTTATATCATAGTAAATTGATTCTCTTTGTTGGTTGGACGAAACAAGACATTTGATGACGTCACCTTGGGCTCCAGGAAATACTGAAAATATTTACCATTCTTCGGTGTTTTATAGACCAAAAAAATGTATCCTTTAATCAAGAAAGTAATCATCTTATTAATCAATGATGAAAATAATTGCCCTAGTCTTATCTCTGTACTTCTTTCTTCTGCTGTAGTCAGGTCTCTCTTAAAAAGGGAACCTCCATGCTTTTCCCCCCTGTTCTTTTCAAGTGAATATGAGTGTCATTAATGCCTTGGAATACTTTTAATAAAATTTTTATTATCGACTTCACTAGTTTTTGTGAAGTACCACGTACACAGTGGGGCATGTAATATGACCAGGCTGAGTTTGACCTACTGCATGTGCAGTTGCTGCATAGATTGTCATCTGAAGAGAAGACAAGAAGACTCTGAATGAAGTTTCAAATGGCTAACTTGGCTTGATGTAGCATCTTGTGGGCTATTCTCTGTTTTTACATTCTGAGTCACATTTTCTTTTTTTTCTATCTTCTCCGATTTCTTCCCCAATTTCTTCTTTCATTACATCATCTCTGTCCAGCTGCCTTGCTTCTTGCGTCTTCTCTCTCTCTCTCTCTGGCGATAAATATTCTGGTCAGCGTTGTCACGTGGCTGTGGTGATTGGATCCAGGCCTCGTGGCTGTATGTGGTGAAGGTTTTTGGCCAGTAATTGGCAGACCAAGAACTTAGTCTATGTGACCTTGCAGACTGGAAGGAAACACATACTCACACAACGTCGCATGACGGAACACACACTTGCACAAACACATCGGCTGTCTACAGTGGAAAAGTTTGCATACTCTTGAAGTTGTCACTGGCTGGTGTTGTTTTTAATGTGATAGGATTTTATAATAGCTTGCCACCCGGAGACAAAGTGAGCTCACTGCACGACTTTGTTCTGCTCTTTGTCGAGAAAACCTATGTCAAAAAGTAAAGCTCTCTGTGAGAAATTTGTCTTTTGAGGACTCTCTTTTATTTATCCATTCCCTTTCAGCATACGTCTATCCATGTGCTTTACTTTTTCCACATCAGTCCTTTTTTGTCTTTCATTCTTATCCTTTCCTCCTATCTGTTAATCTCCACTTGTCTAGATGTCTCTTTTTCCCTTACCGCCCTTTCCTCCGCACTCCTTCCCTCCCTTCTCCCTTCAACGTGAGCCAAATAGCCATTTTATTGTGCTGCGCTCACTTTGGATTCATACCAATATAAAACAGACTACTCTTAAATCAGCCTGACTGAAGCATGCCCAGTCATCTGCTATGGTCATTAACAGTTTCCTCACCTAAACCCAGTCACAACAAAACTGGCAGAATGACACTTTAACTACAGGTACTTCATTATCATTAAACCCATATGTTTTGGTTTGTTTTCATCCAGGTACTACTTCAAAGTGCAGGCCAAGAATGTGTTTGGTTTGGGACCAGTCAGTGACACGCTCACCTATGTCACTGAATCAGGTGTGTATTCTGTCAACACCTGCAAAGATAAACTTTGAGACACCCCACTGACGACAATTCATCCCTCAGTCGAGATTTTCTGTTGCACTGCAGTATGTAAAACTTAACAAAAATGTCATTTTATTGCAACGCCAGATATTCAAATCAAATATGAAATCATCAATCACCAGTAGATGCAGACTACCAGATGCATGGTGCATTATGGGTCTTTCATTGTCAAAATCAGGTGAATGCATTAAACCTGCAGTGCTGTCTGTGTGCTTTTCCTCCCTTGTGAAATGATCGCATTCTTTATTTCAGATGATCCCCTTCTTATTGAAAGACCACCTGGTAAGTCCATACACCGATTGCACTTCTCTAATTTAGAGGTTTTAAAGAGAGAGCCATCATTCTTTTAAACATGACAGGATATACAGTAAATCTGATTGGATTTCCACTCCTCATCCATTTCCCGCCAATAGCACTCCTTTGATTGCTTCTGTGTGTAAAGCATTTAGATAACTGGCAGAGAGACGTAACTCTGAAAAACTTTAGCCTGCCAATGAATCAGGCAGGACAATACATCAGCCAATATTAGCTTATCACAGACCATGTTTACTATGTTTAAGTATTAAGAAATTGCAGCACAGAAAGATATGTTTTAGGTAGTTTAGAAACTGTGAAATTGTTATGTATTAATATCATTATCAATTATTACTTTATCAGATTTTTAAAAACTCTCCAATACCGATATTGGTATTGGCCTCAAAATACAATATCAGTTAATCTATAGCTCTAGACAGCACACAGTGGCACACACCAATTGCTATCAATTATCACTGAAAGCGTCATTTTTAACAGGATTTGGTAATTGACTTAAATATTGTGGTGTGAGACATGAGCAGTGTTTTTTTCAGGACTTTATTTATAATTATCACATAATTTCTCAAACTGCATACAAAACACAAACAAGACTAAAGTAACTATATAACCTCATGTGCTTTCCTCCCTGAATCCTTCATAGACCATTCATCAAAAAGTGCATTACATGAGATATGGAAAGGCAGTAAGAGAAGATATAAAAAAGCAACATCAAAAGACACATGAGTAAAATGTTAAAAGAGTAAAATGAAACATCAGCTTAAAATAAAACAAAAAAATGTCTTCATGTTTAGTTTTGACTATGGGGATAGTGAACTTACCCCTATTTTGGCACCAAACCATTCAGTGCTTTATGAACCAATAATAGTATAAATCATCATAACATTTAGGTTACGAGATATGAACTGAATTTGGCTGCCTGTATAAAACGCATGCCCTCTGGCTACCTTATCCTGACCATTTAATATCTAACCATAAGAGTAACAACAAATTTGTTTATATACTGAGTGATAACCTTGGATTTTATTTATTTTGTCCAGCTTCATTTTCATCATCCTCCTCTTCCTCCCTGCTCCTTAGGTGGAGAACCAATTTGGGTGCCCTTTACTTTCAAGTATAACTCTGCCCACAGCAGCTGTAAGGGCAGCCAGTACGTCAAGCGGACATGGTACAGGAAGTTTGTGGGCGTGGTTTTGTGCAACTCTCTGCGTTACAAGATCTTCATGGGAGATGGTCTAAGAGGTAATGTATGACTTTCCATCTATTTTAAGCCGCTTATATCCAGTACCTTTCCCAGCACTGTCAGCCAAGATCTTTTTCTCTTTGTTCCTTCATGCCAACATTGAATTTTTCGGAGATAACCAACCATTTATAATTTTAAAATGTCTTAATAATGATACCCACTTTCCCCTCCCTCCACAGAGCCATTTTACAGTATAGGAGATACATATGGCCAGGGAGAGGACCATTGCCAGTTTGTGGACTCCTACAGGGATGGGAGGACAGGCCCGGCCTATCTCTCAAATAATCTGCCCTCAGCACAAGGTAAACAAAAACAGATTGTACACGCACTGCACATTTGTGGCTGTGATATATTAAGACCTATCCTATTATCATTTTTCCCATGCTCTCTGGTTCCTTAGTGGACTAGCTGTGTTGATCTTAGCTATGCAGAATACAGATGCAGAATAATGTTTTAATGAATACTTGTTAAAGGACCTACCAGGGTTTTTGCCCATTTTATCCAAATCTCCCATGTTTTTCATTACTGCAGACCACATAACTCTACCAACTTCGTAGATTAATGCCATAACTTCCTAGCAATTATTGTTTTCAGGTCAGATCCGTAGATAATGAGAATACTTACATCTCAAGCAAGAGAAAACTTGCTTGAGATGAGGAATCCACCCGAGTGAACACTATTTACTGAAGTTGGCATTTTCTATCGAAGTTACTTTAGTAATAAAGGAAGGAGGTGGTATGAAAACCTTCTCTTGTTGGTGTGTTTGACATCCAAGACTTGAGATTCAACTGTTTGCCAGCAACCTTTTCAATTCAAGCAAAAGGGCAAAATTCACAACTTACAAAATTTGCTAACGCTTTTCCCTCTGAATTTGATTTCTCAGTATGGTACCTTCTGAACACATTACTCTTTGGAAACTGACATGCAATGTTCTTTACCTTCTTTCCCTGTTTGTTGCACCCACTGTCAAGTCCATTGGTTCCCAGAATGTGTCACAAACAAATAGTTTCATTCTTAAAAAAAGCCAATATATTTCCTCAAATAGCTGGGCACTGTAGTTTTTAGCAAACAGTACTCAACCTGTAGTAAATAATGCATTTGTTGGGGACTATATTCACCTATTAATACACATTTGGTGCTTTTTTGAGTATTAATAGTAGTAGTAAATTGTAAGGAGCAGGGTACAACAATGTGTTTTTTAATAGTTTTTGGACAACAATGGAGCTCTGTGGCACGGAGGAATAAGATATATCCAGATTTGGCTACACAAGCAATACCTGTTAGTAGGATCAATTCTCTAAATAGTAAAAATATCGAACATCACAAACCTCCTTAGTCAAGATGTAAGAGGCTCTTGAATATGTTAGAATTGTTATAAAGTAATAAATGACGACAATATCAAGTCATGCTCACTCTTTATTGTATTCAAGTCTCCTGATACAATTCTGTGAATGGCCACGAACATTTGTTTCTTTTGCAGGATTTTATCGTGCATACAGACAGGAACCAGTTACATATGGAGTCATTGGCCGACGTACACCCCATCCATTCGTGGGCTGGTATGAATGCGGGGTGCCAATCCCCGGGAAGTGGTAACACGGGAGGAGTAAGAGACATCGTTACAGAGGGCTTTTACCTTCACTGGTCCTGCCCTTAAAACTGACTTTTGCCTGAAAAGACACCACTACAAATGTATTACAGCTTCACAGAAAGAGAATATAATACTTTTTAAACAACTCAATGTATATCATTACAATTGCACTTTTTATATAAAGCAGTCTGTATATGAGGGGAAAAAGAAGCATGTGTGCTTTTGCTTAGTTTAACTCTTGTCTCAAAGTGTCCTTGTACTGTTATCTATCCTAGAGACAGGTCTTCACCCACTGTTATTTATCTCATGAATAATTCACACACACAGTCAAACCAGTGACATTAGACCAAAGCACAAGCTGCAAAGCAAACTGTAAGAATGGGCACTTAAGTTGTGTATAGGTCTGTTAATTTTCAATCGTGAGATTTGTTTTTCATAATGTAACGGCTTCTGACAGCTACTTTTTTATTTGTTTATTTGTGTTCCTAAAGCACCATACTGTTTTTTTCTACACCCTTTTGGTATTCGCCTGAATTCATTAAAAGTCACTGTGTAAGTTTTGTATGTATACGGACAAAAAATAAAAAAACAAATATTTGCTCAGGAACTGTGGGAGATTGAATAAAGGTGCTATGGAAACCACAGCAATCCAAAACCATGAATCATATCATATTCTCCCGCAGGCACATTCTTTTGTAGCTACAGCTCCGACACGTGACCCAGATCTACTTAATCAATCTAATGGAAGATCTGAATAATAGAGAAGGTTCAGTTGAGCCAGTTGGAAGAGCAACTGTTAAAATATGATGAAATGTCAAAAACAACACATTGTGGAAAGAAACAGGTGAAAAAGAGACGCAGAACCATCAGCCATGTGTGTTGAGGATTAGTAAACTGAGCCATAAATATCCAAACTGGAATTGTAATGCCTTTTATACCATCACTTGAGTTCACTTGAAACCAGTAGTGGGAAGTAATAAGTACATTTACTCAAGTACCTTTCTTCAGTATAGAAATGTATTTATTTCAATACAAATGTGACTCACAAGGGCCATTTCTCTGCAGAATGAGTGGTGGCAGAGTATTAATAGCACACACTCCATAGAGGTCCTGCATTATGTTACTCAAGTAAAAAAAAGTGTTTACTTAATTTACTTAAGTAACAAAAAGTACCCAATGCACGAAATTGGACCCTTTGAGTGTGAATAGCATATTATTGTTGTAGTATTTTAACAATTTTATTATTAGGTAGTATAATCTGTAAAAATGTATTTTATAAATTTTTATAAAATCATAATGTTTTGTGTGTAAAATCTGCAATGCAATTATTGTAAATAAATATAGAGCCTAGTGGAGTAAAAAGTACAATACATCCCTCCAATGTAATGGTGTAGAAGTATAAAATTGGATAAAATGGGAATAGCCTACTAGTAAAGTAAGTAAATAAGCCAGTAAGTAAATGGATTACATTAGCGCAGCCTGTCGGGACTTGGCTTGGGAACCGCAGGGTTGCCGGTGTAACACCAAAATCTGTGACCTATCTAGATTCTGTGACTACACCCAAATGACGATGTTTTCCTAACCATAACCAAGTACTTTCGGTACCTAAACCCAACCAAGTACATTTGGTGCCTAAACCCAACCAAACTGCAACCGCTTCACATCGTCAACAAAGCCTCTGGCGCTTAACTTGCCATTTGGGTCACAGAATCTGATAGGTCACACACATTTTGGTGTTTTTGTTGGAGTTTTGCCTGCCTGTCGAGAATCGCATGCACCTCCAAATACTGCTTTTAAACGCTATACTATTCTTTGTGGGGTTCATAAATGGTGATAATAATGGTGATCTTTAATATTTTAATAAACTTAGTAGAAGTACCATAGATTCAGTATATATATGTGGTGATAACAGCGTTTGATCAATGAGCACAGCAAAGTGTCTGAAAATGACCTAAAGAGGTGGATACATAATTTTGTAGGCCACCTGCCAAGATTTGCATCCACTTCTTTTCTCAGCATAAATGACAGCTATCACTCAGGAGGTGCATGCAATTCTGGGCATGCAGGCAGAATTCGGCACAACACCTGTCCACCATGGACCATTGCCGAAGGTACCACTGAGCAAGGCCCTGAACCCCTAACTGCAAAGTTTCAACACAGTAGGCTACTTTAAGTAAATTTTGCTCATAATACTTCTGTAACTTACACAGGATTATGAAGGAAGGACTTACCTGTAAAGCCAAGTTCACACTACATGATTTTTTTTAGCCCATTTGCCGCTCAAAAACGTCAGTCTGTGATCGTGAGTAAATCAGCGGTTGATTAGCAGTCGCCAGTCGTTAGGTGTGAACTACACGACGACGCATCAAAACGGCTCACCCACACATTTCTGACACATCACCGACATCTGCCAGATATCTAGCATGCCAAAGATCTGGAGGAGTCAGCCGACTCGACATCCACATCCAGCCAATGAGAGCAGGCAGCTGGCAGAGCAGGCAGCTACTTTTTCACTGCAGAACACTTTTTACTCACCTCCAGCTCTCTCTGTAGCTCAGACAATTCCTGCTACCTGCGTGTGCTAATCCGTTCTTTCACCCATATTCTTTGTCTTTATAAGTGCTATCTTTATAATAACAAAGAACAGCTGTTTCGTGTGTAGGTTCACGTCATTTCCCATTTCACATTTCACCTGTGTTTTCTTGACCAAACGTGGTTAGGAGACCAGCATCGGGTGACTCAGCCGCTGTCAGCTCGTGTAGTGTGTGACCCCCTCTCACCGATCAGTCACCTAGTGTGAACGCCACAGCGACTTCAAGACTCTCGTCACAGGATGGCAAGATGTGTAGTCAAGGCACAGCCATCGGCCGACGCTGAAAGTCCTGTAGAGTGAAGGTTCTGAATACTTCTTCCACCACTGCTTGAAATAGGACCCACATCTGCTGTGTTAGATTTGGAAAGGCCTACCGTACACATTTGTAGAACCAATTATCATTGGTATTTTCTGGATCATTTGAAAGTGATTATTAATCAAATTATGTGGTGGACTTAGCTTCTGATGTAAATAAATTCAGATAAAATCTTTCGCAAGGAATAGACTTTAGTTTTCATGCCCAAAGCAGATCAGATTTTACAGTGTTGTTTGAACACTAATTCCATCTGTGTAAAATAAGTGACAAAAAAAAGAGAAAATATGATAATAAGTGGAACAGCACCACAATAAACCAGGTGGAAAATATTTTACAGATGAGGTTTAATAAGTGAAGAGATCTATTTTGTATTTGTTGCCAATTAATCATTACTGCCTTTATGAGATATTGACATTGATTTTTCAACCGTTATATTGATCGCTTTTGAGTTCTTGCCTGAAACTGTTATTTTTGACTCGTGAGCGAAATTCATAATATCTAGTAGCAGCCAGGCCACTCGTTTTCGGCAAATACTGTACAACGAATCACTCTTATTAATCCCCATTATTCCTCCAAGAATGGAATAGGATCTTTATGGCCCACAAGAGCCAGGAGACTTCATCATTATGCCATACATCTACGACACCTAATGTTAGAATGATAGACATAGAAGTGCAGAATTTCTCCAAATAAATTACTTTGATTCCAGTACATTAAGCAGAGCTGATGCACCTTTTACTCCCCCTTACTTAAACACTGCACAGTATCAAAGGTATGACCTGCAATCTGAGGAGCACATGTGGTAGTTTGTTGACGTTGGCTCTGATGTGCTATGGCAGCCAGATTTAAAAGACATTAACAGCAAAGGGAGTCCTCTGAGGGCATAAACTATTTCCCCTGGGCAGTGATGGAGAGATAACGGACCAATTTGTCAACAATTTTGTGGATGGTTGTCAGATTTCAGACATGCATTTCCCAGGTATACTGGGTCTGGATGAAAGTCTCTTCTACCATGTGTTTTTAGTGAGTGATGAGCTTCTCTGTGCCCCAAAATATTTTCATTGGCTGCAGGTTTGAGTGTCATATGACCTGTGCAAAGAATATGTTGATATTTAATACAAAGCACTTTGGGGAACCCCGTCCAGCTCCAAAAGACCTAAAACTGAGACAGAAAAATTTTATCTATGTTTGCTTGAGAAAAAGACCATAGGAGCAAAGTCAGAGGAGAAAAAGAAAAGAGAAAAGGTGAAAAGATGAGACACAAACACACTTTATAAACACGTGTACATGAAGGATACCACATCTGCTACGGATGTTAGAGAGCATAAAGTCATGGGCCCTTTTCTACTTAGACTCGTATGTGTGCGTGTGTGTCCCGCTCAGAAATGATGACTGCTGTCACGGGAAAGAAGAAAAATAGATAAACTATAACCAATACAACAGAACGATGCAAAGCAGGAAAACAGAACTGTGGTCCAAGATTTAAACTCTACACCATTGCTTCTTGGAAAGACCTGAAACACAGCGTTTAGAGCATGTGATGCTGAAACTCCTAACTGAGGCATTTTAACAGCCTTTTCATCATAATAAAATAAAACCAATGCTTCAAACAATAATTTTGACACTGTAGAACTTAAACCAGTACTTGTAATACAGAGATATGATGTTAGAATAGCTGATAGAAGAGCACATTTCTCTCAGTACAGTTTTAGAAAGAACATTCAAAAATGTCATTGACTGACAGCATTTATTGTCACGTGGAAAAAGTGGTATAAGTCTTGTTTTTTGAGGCTGCAATGAGTTTTGACTATGACATGAAGTAGACAGAAAAAAAGACACCAATGCTGCAGCATATCAAATTTTCTTTCGGAGAAGGTGTTAGCAACACAAGCAACATGGGCATCATATACAATATCTCTTCCTCATTTACTGTCAGATTTAAGTAATCTTATAGTTTGATCCATTCACTTTTGAGAAAGCTTGTCTCTTTGGCTTGAAAAATTTCTCCACAGCTAGCTAATTTTGTATTTCTGCTACTTCAAATTTCAGTGATGCAGTGTGAGAGGAAGTTCTCTGGGTCCAGAGCTTTGAAGCCGCCCAATCTATCCAAGTTGACTGTTCTGTCTGATATCAGGCCAAGGACAAGTTAGTTGAGTTGACTTAACTTGCCATTACAACAAAAGTCAGAAACTTGCTGTCAACACAGCATGCTAAGAAAACCCACATATGACACAAAATAAAAAAGAGAAGCTAAAACATATTAAAATACCCAAAAAACAAAAAATTTCTAAGAGGTATCCCATTATCATTGCAATCTGCACAAGGTAAGCCATACCAGTGAGACAGAATGAATCATAGCACAACTTTGAAACTAGAGCACCTCTTTGAATGCAGCCATCATCGCTTAATGGTAATGTTAATTACACTGCTGTAAAACGGTCCATTTGTAAAGACAGCAGACATTTAGACCATTAGCCCAAGTGAGAGCTGCCTAGAGGGATTGCATTGGCCAGTGTACCAACGTCAGTGTTGACTATCAGTTAAGTGGAATAACCTCATGCCACGAGAAGCACAGTGATAAATGCCGCTGAAACAACACTCAGATACTGTTGGTTATGTTGAGGTAGGAATTACGATTCTCTGAAATACACATAAATGCGTGTGTGGGTGGACATTGAGGAGGGTGTTATGGGTTTCTTGTCTGGAGGTGAAAAACAAGAAACAAATCAGAATTG